AATTTTTCCAGTCCGTTCACTTCGTTGAAACGGATATAATTTTCGATTTAGTCAGTTAGTTTTTGAGAAAACAAAAAAAATCAAAAATTTTAGTAAAATACCCCGCCACGCCCCACAGGCTGTAGATTAAGGTGTAAGGCAAAAGAGACCGGCGGATGAAATAAGCAAAAAATTTTGTACGCGGTGTTTTTATGGACACCCTTCTTTGAAACTCGATAGAAAAATTTTAGAGAAACAGTTTTTTTTGCAAAAAGTGATCAAACTTTTCAAAGAGTATCTATAAAAAAAAATTAAAAAACCAAATCCCATACACTTTCGTAAAACCTGTTTTTATCAAACGGGAACTCAAAGCAAACATGCCTAGCAGGACGTTTGAAATTGAAATTATTAACTGAGCAAAACTTACGAAGCGGAAACAAGGCCGACATTCTTTGAGCGGACACCAGTTGAGCCGAATAAAAACTAACTAGCGTATAACGCACTTCCGGTGCTTCAAATTTTCATCAACTCAACAAAAATATTCTTTGAGTGTACTCTAACAGCACCCAATAACAGAGTTCGTAATTACAATTTTTGCAAAGTTATTTTTTCAAGTTTTTATAAATTTTGTGAAGTTTCATACACGTTTTTCGAAAAACTTGAAATGAACTAAGAACGTCACATCTGTGAAACTGAAAGCAATTGAGCAGTCGCAATTGGACGCAAGATTTGCAACTCCTGAGAGTAACTTCAAGTTTTGTAAATTTTTTTATTCGTTTTTTAATTCAAATTTTGAAAAACCATAAAAATTTGTGACATTTGTTTTATATGTAAGTTTATAATGAATTAAGAAACGTCACATCTGGAGAAACTGAAAGCAATTGAGCGGTCGCATTTGGACCCAAGAGATTTTCAACTCCTGAGAGTACTCTTACACTACCCAACTACAACGTTGGGAAATTTAAACTTTGAGAAACTTCACCTTAACTTTTCTAAAAAAAGGTATTTTTTTGAAAACCAGAAAAAAATCTCGAAAACTGCAAAAATTTGAGCAGTCTTATTTGATGGCATTATTCGCAATCTTTGAAAGTACACAACTACAGGGTTGGGAATTTCACTTCAACGAATTGTTTTGTAATTTTAGTTTTCTGAAAATTTCCAAAAAATCAAAAAAATTGTCGTATCTCTTTAACAAAAACGATTTGGGCATTCTTAATTGGAGGCAGAATTTGCAACCCCTGCAATTACTCTGACAGTAAAATTTGAAAAAAAAATAAAAACTTTTTTTAAAAAAAATTTGAAAAATTACAAAAAACGAGTACCTTGACAGAGCCTCACTACAGAAATGATAATTTCAATTTTTGCAAATTTTTTTATATCTAAGTTTTCTGAAAAATTCAAATCTCGAAAAGTAAAACAAATTGAGCAGCCATATTCAGAGGCAAGATTCGCAACCCCCTGAGAGTACCCTCACAGATTCCAATAACAGGATTGAGATCTTCAAAGTTTCAGAACTTTTTAACATTTAAGTTGTTTGAAAATTTCGGAGAAAATCATAAAAAACGTCATATCTCGAAAACTAGAAAGATTTGAGCAGTCATATTTGGCGGCAAAAATTGCAACTCTTGAGAGTACCGTGACAGAGCCTCACTACAGAGATGATAATTTCAAGTTTTGTGATTTTTTTTATATCTTAATTTTCTGAAAACTTTTGAAATTCAAAAAAAACGTCATACCTCGAAAACTACAAGGGTTTTAGCAGCCATAATCAGAAGCAACATTCGCAATCCCTGAGAGTACCCTCACAATAGTCAACAACAGGATTGAGAATTTTTTAAATCTAAGTTTTTGCAATTTTTTTGAAAAAATCATAAAAAACGTCATATCTCGAAAACTACAAGGATTTGAGAAATGAGAATTAGAGGCAAGATTTGCAACTCCTGAGTGTACCCTGACAGCACCCAACAATAGGGTGAGAATTTTTTTAAAATTAAATTGTCTAGAAATTTTTGAAAAATCTCGAAAATTGCCTATCTCGTAAATTAAAAGGATTTGGTTAATCACATATGGAGGTCAAAATCGCAAAACCCGGAAAAAATCTGACAATACTCTTATATTGGGTTGCTAATGTCAAACTTGATGAACTAAACACTGAATTTAAAACAGAAAATGAAAAAAAAACCTTAACTATTGCAATATACGATATAGCTTAAACGTGAAAAAAAATTCTTTTGTTAAAAGTGAAAAAAATAATACGTTGAAAAAGCTTAAACATCGCGAGATTTTGAAGCCCGAGTTTAAATTAATAATAGATTTTTGTAAAAACAAACTTTCTTATGTTTCAAATCCCCTTGAAACTATTCTACAATTATTAGTATTTGCGTAATTGTTACCACTGTTCCACATTTGCCTGAAATTGAGCTTGACAGCACGTGAGTGGAAAGAATGCAAGTGAATGAAGTCCAGTTATTCAAATGATTTCGTTAAATTATTTGTTAACCCGAAAAAAATCTATATTGTAGTTTAATAACGCTTACTAATCGCAAGCACTAAAAACTCCGCAAGACAGACTCAGTAAAGAAATTATCAATGTGAGAGCTATTCAAAACGTTAGTTAGGCTTTTATGTAAGGATTTGATAACTGAATTCATAAAAAATTCAATTATGGACTCAGAGACTGAGACAATGAAACATAAACGAAAAAAGAAAATACACAAGCGAAACAATTCACAGGCAAAAGTCCCAAAGAAATAGGTTTACATATTAGAAAAGTGTTTTTTTTTTTTAACTTTTTAAAAAGATTTTGCTGACAGAGTCAACAGTCGTACTGATAGTCAATTAAAAATCTTTTTCGAAGTTTTTCGCGATTTATATATCACAAGTAATAAAGAAACGATACATTTTTTTTATACGGATTATATGGTTTGAACAATTTATAGTAACTTATAGTTGAAACTTCTTAGTACTTGGGGCGTTTGAAATTGTACTGCTTAATTAAGGCATCAATTGACTAGGCCTATCGGGCCTATTGATGTTCTTGCTTATCAGAATTAAGTACAATGACAAATGCCTATTGAATAATCTCTGATACAAGAAATTTTTAGTACTATTATTACAATCAACAAGTAAAAGGCTTAAGAGCGATCTAATCTATGCATTTTAAAATTCTAAAAAACGGTTCGAACTGTTTGCTTTAAAATTTTTACAAGACTGCTCTGATCAAGGTGTAGTCCTGCATGTTTTAACAGCTCTTTAACTTCCATGAATTAGGTTTTTAATAACTTTCAAAGAACAATGACAGGTCAAAATAATTTTTTTAAATTGGATTGTTTTCATTTTTCAAAAAATATCGTCCCAATTTGTAACTAAGAAAAAGCGGATGCTCTCACCACCTAGTAGCGTATTATGAAGATCAAATTACTTTCCTTAATCCAGTTTAAAACGGCTTTTCAGCCGAACTAATTCGCTGCTACATTAATTGCTTCAAATATATATCCCGCATTAGTTGCCACATAATGGATTTTTTAAAATCTCAAAAACAAAAAAAAATCACAAGTGGTTAGGTTAGAACTCGTTAGGACGCTAATATTGATGATATGAAGCAAAACATGTGGTTATGGCTAGTTAGAAAGTGAACAACCTTTCAGACAAAAACCATATCAAGCAAAAATATTCCGAAACTTTCAGCGAAACAGAAAAAAAAACGTAAAATAACAACATTTAAGAAAAACTGCTATGTTCAAATCAATTCAAAAGTACATGTTGCTCAAGTATGCGAAAAAGGTTTGGTATTTTTACATCCTTTTTTGGCAAACCAATCAAACTTTTTTAGAACACCAATATGTATTAATTTTCAAACGAGCCTGCCGAAAAAAAAGTAATGTTTAGGTATAAATCAGCCATCGGAGCTTCCCAAAGTGGCAAACCTTTCAAAAAAATTGTCTTTGGCACAACCCGTCTATCTAAGAAAAGTTCCGACAACTACTTTCAAACAACTTTTCGAACGTCCCCTCGAAAAAAAAATCGTGTTCACAGCATTGGACTGAAAGTTAACAGAAGAAATTACCGAGAAAATATTAACAAAAGCAAAGGCCAATAAAATTAAGCATTAAAAAATTAACTTCCAAAAGTGAAAAAAATTAACTTACGAAAGTAAAGAAAATCATATCGCTCTTGAATTCATTGAATTTCAAAATTATTTATGCATGAAATTTTGAGGGAAAACGTGGATCACTTGATATTATTTTTAACCCCTTAAAATTCAGAAAAATAGTGTACTGTTGAAACTAGAATTCATTCACATTTTTCATGCCTTTTACACTTTTCCTCTTTGGTAGTGCTTTCTTTTCAACACACTGAACTTAACTTAGGAAAATCCAAAACCAAACCGTGAGCGAAATAAAACTGAGCGTGAATAAAACTTTTTCCTGAAAAAAAAACGTCAAGCTTTTATTTGAGTGAAAATGCATTTCTTTCGTTAAACTTAGGAAAAAAGATCTGTTATGGTAATTTTTAAATCCAGTTTAGGCAAATCAACAAAAATAAATTCAAAGACCACATGTTACCAGAATTTTGCTAGCGGCGGATTCGCGTTCGTTTACCTAGGATTATGTCCGGGTATATTCGAAACCAATCATGTTTTTCGTGAACTTTACATTTTGCTGTTCAGTAACGGAGTTTTCCTTATTTTGCCCAGCCAGAATTCTAAACGCCAAAAATGAACCTTGAGCGTGAAAAAAATTTTCCTGAAAAAAACTTTACTAGAAAAAAAAATCACAGCCATATCACAATCACTACGTTCATTGACTATTAAAAAATCAACTCTTGTTCCGGCCATGCCCAAAAATAATACAAAAAATGTAACACGTGAAATGCATTTCACTCTTAGCTCGTGTATCGGTCGCTTGATCTACAGACTACTCTTGAGCCGAAAAACCATCTAAATCTACTAATTTGGTGCAATTTTTAGGCGCGATTTTGAACTAACTTAAATCTTCAAAACATACTATAGAAAACAAAAATAGAGAACAAAATTAATTCATTGAATGATTTACAAATTGAGAATATTAATTAACCAGATTGAAAGAAAAATAGATTATAACCAAACTTCTAGTGTCATTATAAAATTCGAAGAAATACATCTATATAGACAATTTATATTGATTAACTCCAATTTAAAATCGGCATGATTAATGAATTAACAAATTCTATAAAACAAATTCTAGACTACTTTAGCTTATCTCAGTCTTGCTTTTATGGACTACTACTCGTAGTATGTCACTGTGCTTGTTGGCCTCCATGGGGCGGGACCGCTTGCTGCTGTTGAATTGGAACGCCTTGTGTTCCTTGTGTCATACTGGGTCTATGTTTCACAACCGAGTGCTCCGACAACTAAAATTAACAAAAATCAGAGAATACCGAGTGCTCCGACAACTAAAATTAACAAAAATCAGAGAATACCGAGTGCTCCGACAACTAAAAATAACAAAAATCAGAGAAAAAAAACAAGAACATAGCCAACAGACTGTTGGAAAAGTCAATGAACGCAAGAAAACAAAAAAACGGACTTATTTTCGAAAAAACTTCATCTTTCGAATTTCAAAGTAAAAAAATATATAGCCTTAAAGCACTTAGAGTTTCAAAAAAAATTTTTGATAGACACTTTTTTCGGATAAAATAAACTCAGAAGTTTTTATTGCAATGGGAAATCGGAAAGTTAGAATCCAATTTCGAACTTAGACGTCGATCACGTTTTCTTGTGAAATTTTCACTTTTACTGTTCGTCAGTTGAGTTTTCCGCAAATGAAAGGAACTGAATTTAAAAAGAAATCGCAAGTCAAACCGCAAAAATTTAGTGATCCATGATCGTTGCTTTTGGGTGAGGCAACATTTTCCAGCCAAGAAAAATAACCTAGAAATTACATGTAGTTTTCAAGCAGAGGAATAACAGCGGTTCTACGTGAAAAAATAACATCTCACGTGTTGGTCCTTTACCTCGTGGATAAATCGTCTTCTTAACAAATAGACGGCGGGAAACCAAATTTTTAAGCTTAAAAATCGGCACATTCGAAGCAGAGCTTCGCGTTGCTTCCGATACCCTAATATAAACCAATGTTATCAAAAAAAATGTAACCAATAAAGTATGCGTTGATTACACAGCTCCATTTAGCAATTTTTTTTTGAATTTTTTCCAAATTCATGGAAATCAAATTCGAAAAAAACTATCAATTTTCGAAAACTGACTCTCTATCATTCAAAAACAATCAATTATCGTTTATTGAAGCTCTTTGGACAACTTCAACCAAGGTCAACGAATAATTCGTTAAAAAATAGAGAAAAATTTTTCATTTTCTTCATTTCCAAAAGTTTACTTAAGTAATTCAATTGACACTCACGTGGTCTCTTAGTTCGTGCAACTGGTGCATCAGATGATTCACCAATCTGTTGGTCTGGTCCAGATTAGCAGCCAGATTCTTGAATTCCATCTGGTACTGGTTAGACATCATGCCCCCTGCATGTTGCTCATGGCCCCCTGAAGTTCCGCTGCTACTGCTTGTATGGCCTATACTCATCATGGACCCATTTTGGGCACTCATCGGGTTGTTTCCCATCGATCCATTCTTACCCGTTCCACTCGCTGAGTTCTGGTGATGGCTGGCAGAGTTGCCGTGCGGGTACTGACCCATTGCAATGTGGTTCCCATTCATCGTCTGGGTTCCACCCATATTGTTCTCGTTGTCCTCTGTGACTATCAAAGACATTGCACGCATTCTGGGAAACCAGTCCAAGTTCCGATCCTAAGTCAGAAAATCATTTCTTGACAAACTACGTAAAACCTTTGTTCAACTTGACTCGTCGAGGTAGCAAAAGGCATCCGAACTTTCAACTTGAACGACTGCGATTTCAAAGCCACAGTTACAAAAAAAACCCGAACGTTCCTTAAAAATACAAAAACATGTCAGTTTCGACCATAGCTTTATTTTGGACCAATCGTTTTTTATCTGGTTATGTACAGCCTATTTTCAAGACAGCAAATAGTTTACATCTAATATCAGACATCAGCGTTAACAACTAGAAGACCGCTAATGACAACCGACCTTCATAACCCGACCCGACTTTGTTAATATGCCCTGAACTGACCTTAATGAGGGATGCCACGTATGACTCTGGCCCCGTGAACTCAGTGGGGTCCTTGACCTTTATCAGGACAATGAAGTATAGGTAATGCCACATATTGTGTTCGAACTTGATGTGTTCCTCAAATGACACCGACTTGTTGTCAAAGTTACCTCTGTCCAATCCTAAATAAACGAAGTGGGCCGTCTAACAATAATAACATAACAAGGCTAAAAACGTTCACACAGATGCAAGACCCATTTTGTGACTAAACTATATTTCAGACTCTTCTATCAAGTAACAATTCAAAAAACCCAACGCTTACAATTTTCATTCAGCAACTAAAATTTTGAACCGCAGAGATCCAAGGAAATATAAACAATGCGATACAAAGAATAGTAAAATAGGGCTTTTATAATTTATTTAACTATTGCTCACCACATATGAAGCATGTGTTTCTGAGGATGAGGTCTTTGTTCTGCTTCTCAGATCTGAGGTCTGCGAAAGTGTCGATAATGACACCGAAGATCAGATTGAGAACTATGATGATGACAATGAAGAAGAACAACAAGTCATAGATCACACGTGCCACAAACAAAGACTCCTGCAGCACATTAAAATCCAGGTATAAAAAGCAAAAGTGCCATCAAATAAAGGGCACCTTTATATCTGTGTATGCATAAAGTTTTGTGTGTCTGTTTGTATGAACGTTTTTAAGAAAGACTTTATATGTGAATGTTCATATGTATTCATATTCATTTGTATGTATTCATGTATGTATGTATAAGCGTATGTATTTAAGTAGGTTTGTGTGTATGTATTTTCGTATGCATGTTTGTATGCATGTAAGCTTGGAAAAAATGTGGATACCGTATTATGACACTCCGCTTCGCTTGTTTAAAAATCAAATTTTTTATACCCCATCCAGACTGAAACAGGCAGAAGCATTTAAAAATTACCCTTGAAACTACGCATCATAAATTGACTAACCCGACATAACGTAAGTCGAACCCGTTGATCCGAGAAAAAAATCGTTTTTTGAAACATTAAGCGGAAAAAATTTTATGAAAAAAAAGTCAAACAAACATGAAAATATGTACAAAAATCGGGTCGACCATCTTTAAGCAGAAAACAAAACTGTAGTCATAAAAAATATGTAGCTATCAATTTTCAAAAGTCTCCAAATCCACTTCTACAATCCATCATTCCTGGAACACGCAAAAGCAATAAACAATTCCCCTTGAATCGACGCAAAATAGAACATAAGCTCACCCCATTTAACCAAAATAATAAAAACACAGAGGCGAAGCTGAGCTTCTCGCCACTTCCGATACAAGATTTATACAAGGCAATAGAATGTGAGTTTAGCATCGGAAGAAAACTTACGAAGCGGTATTAAAGCCGAAAATACCTTAGCAAAAATCCGAAAAAAGCCAAAAAAAATCAATGAGACTTAAGACTTATAAAACACACACACAAAAAAAACTTTAATTGCTCGTCAAATGAACCAATATGAGCCACTAAGCCGATATATTAAAGGCAGCAACCAACTCGATATATTAAAGACGAAAAAAAGCGGAAAACAAGTTCAAAAATTTTACAGAGACAAAGTTGCACTTCGCATAAGCAAAAATATGTCCGATAACGCTACTGGAAAAAATTGAATCAGTAAAACTTTGAGTCTAAAGCTTTGCAATTTGAAAAAAGAAATTTACCAATTAACATGTCTCAATTTAAAGAGCGAACGCTTTTTAACTAGTATACAAAAAAGTTCATTTAAAACATCCGCCCCTGCTCAGGTTCGAATCCTCTCATTTTGTACCTGGTCTCCTTCCCTACCTCTAACCTATAGATCCATGATACCTTGAAGCTAAAAGGATTTTTTAAATATAAATATAGCCAACTAACAGTTGGAAAAGAAAAACGTGAACGCAAGGAAACTGAAAAAACACTGACCTGTTTTTTCAAGAGATTTCAACTTTTGAATTTCGACAAAAAAAAATAGATGACCTTAAAGCTCTTTGGATTTGTAGAACAATTTATGACGGACTTTTTTGCTAAAATTAACCCAATGAGAGAAAACTGGATCAATATTTTAAGCTTTTATTTCGCTGTAAAATCTGATAATTAATTTCCATTTTCAAAATTAGAAATTGATCACGTTTTTCGTGACGTTAACATTTTTGCTGTTCGATAGTGGAGTTTGCCTTCCCTTTAACAATGGAAATGCACAGAACTCAAAAAGAAATCACAAGTCAACCGCGAAAAATCAAAACTGAGCGTGAACAAATTTTAAGACTTTTTCCTGAAAAAAAAATCAGCAAGACCTATCTAATAGTCCTCACTAAGTTCATTACTCTTAATAGTCTGTGTTAATATCCGTAGCATTGGCTGTACTTAAAAGCTGGTTATTGATAAAAATGAATTAGCAAAAAACTGCAACCTCGCAAATTTGAGTCTCACGCACCAAGCATTCAGCCATGGATGCTTAAAATCCCAAAAAACTAGCCACCAATAACGCATCTATATATGCTAATAAATTGCCAATTTGATACAGCAAAAGTAGTATCAAATACAAAAAGACTCAACTTTGCATGTAATAAACTATGTATAAATTATGCATTTCAAAAAATTGCGAGATATATTGAGTTAGAAAATTTCTGAAATCGAGATGTTGTTTGAAACAAATAGCTTTCTTCGGTTCACTTGATGAATTAAATGCATCAACTGTTTAAACTTTGAATGTCAAAGCATATGTTATCAATAAGCTTTAAAGGTGCAACAAAATACCAATGGTGCAATAAAAAATTGTTGCTTTAAGTTCGTAATAAAACACTTTGCTTCGCAGGTGTAATGAACAAGACTTGTAAAGAAATCAAAACTAAAACCGCGAAAAATCAAAATTGAGAGTAAGCAAGTTATGATTTTCCTGAAAACAAAAGCAGAAAAATGATCACGAACTTTGAAAGAGTCTTCACCGTTCATCATTCTTGAAAAGAGCAGTAGACAAATAATGAAACAAGGCTCCTAGGTACCAATTCAACAGCCATGCATTTACATTATCAACAAATTACTGGAATTTTTAGTTTTCTAATAAAAAATAACAAATAACGCTAATAGACAGTTGGAAAAAGGCAATCAACGCAAGTAACAAAAAAAAACATTTCGAATTTTTGCGAAAAAAAATATATGGCCTTAAAGCTCTTTGAATTTCAAGAACCATTTATGATTGAATATTTTTTGATAAAATAATCACAGTTTGAGAAAACTGAATCAATAGGTGAAATTTTTATTTCGCTTGGAAATCAGACAACTAATTTCCTTTTTCGAAATTAGAAGTCGATCACGTTTTTCGTGACCTTTACAATTTAGCTGTTCGATAGTGGAATTTACCTTCTTTTTAACAATAGAAATGCACTGAATTTAAGAAGAAATCACAAGTCAAACCGCGAAAAATCAAAATTGAGCGTGAACAAATTTTAAAAGACTTTGTCCTAAAAAAAACAAAAAAAAAACATCAGCAAGACATATATAAGAAGAGTACTCACTATGTTCATTACTCTTAACAAAAGTTGGAAAAGTGTCAATGAACTAAAAATTATAAACATTGAAAAAATTCAAAGAAAAAAACATCAACTTAAAGATCTTTGAAATTCAAGAACCATTTATGATTGACTATTTTTTGATAATATTAACCCAATTTGAGAAAACTGAATCAATAGACAAAAACTATATATTTCGCTTGGAAATCTGATAATTAAATTCCTTTTGGAAATTAGAAGTCAATCACGTTTTGCGTGATCATTACTCTTTTATTACGCTTTTATTTCGCTGTAAAATCTGATAATTAATTTCCATTTTCAAAATTAGAAATTGATCACGTTTTTCGTGACGTTAACATTTTTGGTGTTCGATAGTGGAGTTTGCCTTCCCTTTAACAATGGAAATGCACTGAACTCAAAAAGAAATCACAAGTCAACCGCGAAAAATCAAAACTGAGCGTGAACAAATTTTAAGACTTTTTCCTGAAAAAAAAAAAATCAGCAAGACCTATCTAATAGTCCTCACTAAGTTCATTACTCTTAATAGTCTGTGTTAATATCCGTAGCATTGGCTGTACTTAAAAGCTGGTTATTGATAAAAATGAATTAGCAAAAATCTGCAACCTCGCAAATTTGAGTCTCACGCACCAAGCATTCAGCCATGGATGCTTAAAATCCCAAAAAACTAGCCACCAATAACGCATCTATATATGCTAATAAATTGCCAATTTGATACAGCAAAAGTAGTATCAAATACAAAAAGACTCAACTTTGCATGTAATAAACTATGTATAAATTATGCATTTCAAAAAATTGCGAGATATATTGAGTTAGAAAATTTCTGAAATCGAGATGTTGTTTGAAACAAATAGCTTTCTTCGGTTCACTTGATGAATTAAATGCATCAACTGTTTAAACTTTGAATGTCAAAGCATATGATATCAATAAGCTTTAAAGGTGCAACAAAATACCAATGGTGCAATAAAAAATTGTTGCTTTAAGTTCGTAATATAACACTTTGCTTCGCAGGTGTAATGAACAAGACTTGTAAAGAAATCAAAACTAAAACCGCGAAAAATCAAAATTGAGAGTAAGCAAGTTATGACTTTTCCTGAAAACAAAAGCAGAAAAATGATCACGAACTTTGAAAGAGTCTTCAACAAAAGCAGAAAAATGATCACGAACTTTGAAAGAGTCTTCACCGTTCATCATTCTTGAAAAGAGCAGTAGACAAATAATGAAACAAGGCTCCTAGGTACCAATTCAACAGCCATGCATTTACATTATCAACAAATTACTGGAATTTTTAGTTTTCTAATAAAAAATAACAAATAACGCTAATAGACAGTTGGAAAAAGGCAATCAACGCAAGTAACAAAAAAAACATTTCGAATTTTTGCGAAAAAAAATAGATGGCCTTAAAGCTCTTTGAATTTCAAGAACCATTTATGATTGAATATTTTTTGATAAAATTAACACAGTTTGAGAAAACTGAATCAATAGGTGAAATTTTTATTTCGCTTGGAAATCAGACAACTGATTTCCTTTTTCGAAATTAGAAGTCGATCACGTTTTTCGTGACCTTTACAATTTAGCTGTTCGATAGTGGAATTTACCTTCTTTTTAACAATAGAAATGCACTGAATTTAAGAAGAAATCACAAGTCAAACCGCGAAAAATCAAAATTGAGCGTGAACAAATTTTAAAAGACTTTGTCCTAAAAAAAAAACAAAAAAAAACATCAGCAAGACATATATAAGAAGAGTACTCACTATGTTCATTACTCTTAACAAAAGTTGGAAAAGTGTCAATGAACTAAAAATTATAAACATTGAAAAAATTCAAAGAAAAAAACATCAACTTAAAGATCTTTGAAATTCAAGAACCATTTATGATTGACTATTTTTTTGATAAAATTAACCCAATTTGAGAAAACTGAATCAATAGACAAAAACTATATATTTCGCTTGGAAATCTGATAATTAAATTCCTTTTGGAAATTAGAAGTCAATCACGTTTTGCGTGATCATTACTCTTTCGCTGTTCGAAAGAGAAGTTTACTTTCCTTTAACAAAGGAGATGAACTGAACTAAAATCTCAAAGTCAAACCGCCAAAAAGTAAATTTGAGCCTGAACAATTTTTAAGATTTTTCAAGACTGAAATAATTTTTAAACCTTCTGTGCGACACCAACCCTAGTCCCAGACAGAGTCTAAGGTCTTTCCAACTGCAGCGTCATGGCACTTTTTTAACTTCAAAAACAAGCCACCAATTAAGCAGTTATAAATGCTATCAAATCGCCAGTGCTAAAACGCTATACACCAAAAGCGCCAATTTGCTAGGTAGCAAAAGTGCCAAGGGCTTCGTGCGACTCGAGATGAAGCGAAACAAAGTTAATTCGTCATACAACACTACGCTCGCTAATTCGCTGTGCAATGAAGAAATTATATGCTCTTACTGCTTTAGGACTAGCCATTGTTTGATATGAACCTACAGGTCCCTTTACTTACTGAGCTGGCTGGGCTTCTGAGAACGTCTCCAATACCTCCTCCCGATCGGAGCCCCTTGTTAAGAGAGGTGATGATACACATAATAAGTGTTTCACACGCATACTCTCTGTCTTCAGTTGTCTGTTCACGAGGTATCGACAGCACTCCTCTCTCGTCCACCAAAGATTCATCTAAAACGATCATCGGCTTATTCTAATCGAAGGAACTCCAACATAGCCGGCTATATACAAGCAATCCAAATCATGCAGCATGCCAAACGAACTCACCAAGAACTCATAAACTAAGCTGACAGTCCCTTGAAAACATGTAACGTCTGCTTGATATGCACATATTTTTTCTGTAATTGCCATATTTTCTGTAATTGCCTAGTAATTGCCATATTTTTTCTGACCTTTTATTCTTTTAGACAGTTTCGAGCAGTTGTAGTTACTTATTTGGATTCAATCTATTTTCTTTCACTAAAAATGTTCCAAGAGTTTTCACGGCTCTTCTGAGATTGAATAGCTAATTGACTTATTCGTAATTTTGGAGCATGGATCTCATGGATCTAACCTGCCTTTGTCTTTGGACAGAAGCCTAATTCCTCATTGGTCAGGTTAAGTAACACAGACGAAGAAGAGTAATTTTGAGCAGTAGTTGAGTTAATTGTCTCATTCAGATACTGATTGTCATTTTGAGGCAGGGTGCAATTGCTATTCACTACATATTGCGAAGACGAAGAAGACACTAAATCATCTACACAAAGAAAGACAGACACCTTCACAAACACATGCACATGCTGGTAACATTAATTGGGAATTGTTTAACCCTTCTTTTCTATATCTATAAGCAACAAATCGAGAGGTTTCGAGATTATCAAAAAATGCCGATTTCAATAAAAATACAAAAAAGACCAATTTTTTAAAACATTTGAGTCAGACAAGACATGCAAAATGTACGGGAGCAAGGCCCTATTATAAATGAATAAATTGATTCTTTAAATTGTTCACACCACTCATAGATGAGATAGTTTTAAGTAGTGGACTAAACAGGAAAACGTTGAAAAAAAAGTACAATCCCTATATCTATCTTCTGGGATAAAAATTACCAAAACAACAAGTGCACTCGGCACATGCAAACTCAAAAATTCCAGCGTGCAAATACAAACTATGTCAGCGTGCAAAATTAAAATCAAGCATTTTTACTTCTCCTGTATTGGTTGAACTTTTCTGGAAATGAAAAAAAAAAATTATAAACAGAACATCTCAATTAAAGCAAAATTACCGGAAACTGTGGAAAAAATGAAAAAATTTGCTATAAAACCAGTTATAAATTCGATATCTAACTGTTTAAGAAAAACTTCATGTCTCTCACACACTCAAAAAAAACCTGCGTAATATTTATGCAAACATGTTCTTAAAAGCTAATGGGCAGGTCATGTTATTTGCGATTTTATTTGGCCTCAACTTGAGTGCGGATCTAGGATTTTCTTTCAAGGTGAAGGGTAGACTTTAGGTCAAGCAAACTAATTTTATGAGCTCTCCAAAAACACTATAAAAACCTTTTTTGTCACTATTTTCAGCAACCATTTGCATATTTAAGAAAGCGTGCCGAAATCGCAATTTTTGGGCATTTTTTGACCAAAAATTGCGGTTTTTGTCACGCGCTCAATCTCAAATTCAGTGTATACTGCCGCTCAATACGCCTTTTAAAAAAACTCGGGTGGTGCGAAGAAAAATGGACGCCGTAGAACCAAAGAAAAGGGGGACCCCCTAAACTACCTCAATCCAACTCAACCTTTATTATTCTGGAGGTTTATATTTCACTTAACGCTCTACATTTTATCGCTCTATTTTGGGGCGGTTCGATTTAGTCTCGAATACAAAAAATCAACCAGAATTGTGAAACAATGACAGCCCTTCAACAAACAGAGTTGATCAAATAATTACGAAAACAATCATTAATACTATAACACAAGCTTTGCTTGTGTAATTACCCAACAGACGTAAAAAGCTGTCATTACCTATTGATGGATCGACTGGGACTACGAAGTCCTTTTTGAAGAGGAGGAATCCGAAGATTGAGAAGAGATACACTAGGATGATGGCGAGGATGGTGGTGAGAGCGATACTCCTGAAGTTCCTCGTCACACTCCGAATCACATTCCACAATGTTTCCTCCCGGTACACCACGTCTAGCAGCTAAACCAAACATTTTACAGATTACTATCGATACCAGAAAATGATATGAACTTTATACTTAACAAAACTTGAAAATTACTGTCTCAGAGAAAATCGACAAATATAGCTGTAGTTCATTGATTGAATCAGGTATGCGTAAAGGCTTGTCTGTAGTTCAATTTAGACAGTTATCAAAAATTCGCCATGTTTAAAGTTAATGCCATTTGGAAGTTAACAGAAAAATCTTTTCATAGCTTTTTTTTCTGTTATAAGTACATCCAATTGAAGTTTTTTTTTCGATATATTGAATGATTGATCATAAAGCTCGAACCTGATTTGATCAAATTATTTGAAATCATAAGGAAAACTGAAGCAGAATTTCATTTTTGAGCTCGTCCAACTTACTTTTGTATTTGGGCCGTATAACAGAAAGGACCCGGAAGCTTTATCAAATTATGACTTGTTTGTGAATTTCTGACATGTACTAAGATCAGTCACTTTATGCTCATCAAGACGTCATCGAAAAAAAAAGCGAAAAATTGTACGTAACACGAGACACAACAGCATTTCTCCGTAAGAGCGGATTCTCTCGTATGTTGTTCCTTTCCCTCGTTGGATAAATTGGACTAATGTACGATGATATTACTCACTAGAACACTGTAGCAAAGTGGTATGAATATGCCAGCTATGGTGAATAGGAAGTAGACTATGTGGTAGAGGAACTCGAAGTCAGTGATCATGTGCCACGCCCCCCTCGAGAAAGTGCCCCTGTTGCCCAGGAAAGACACGATGAAGATGGCCTTGTTCAGCATCTAAACCCAGTGAACCAGTCAGTTGTAGAAAAACACAGAAATAGGGTCTTTTTCACTTACTCTGCCCAAAATAACTTAAAGTCGTTTGATTTTCCAACTGAGCATGTTGTGCGAAAACCTCAGAAACAGACATATCACGTTAACCTCTAAGCTGGATTCCTCAACAGTCCATAAATTGTATTTTCTTACTCAGCAACAGTATTAAACTTGAAATTTCTGTGGAAAAGAGCCCAAAAGATATGGAGGACATCCCCATACAGTATGGACGACTCCCCCTCATATTCTTATTACGATTTTCGACTTTTACCTTATTTAATCATTAAAACTAATTCAATTTCGAAAATATACGGTGTTTTTTTGTAACGCACATTGACAGCTCCTATCATATAGAGCGTGGGTTCTATTCCGATCGAGTATATGAGTCGGAGGATGAAGGAGGCCACGAGTGTCTTGATGCCAGGGGATCTAGGGAGAGTGATGACCACTGCCAGGGACACTAGCAGAGCAGTCCAGATCAACATGTCCAGTTTGTGGGTGAGGAAAGTCGAACTAGACGAGGGTCTAAACATTTCAATAGTACAATTAGATGCACACTGATCACTGTTATTTGGAAAAAATTATACGAATTTAATAAAATGAGAAGCAATTACACTGCATTAAGTTAAGAGTATAATAACTTAATGAAAAAAAATAAACTTTGCCGAAAAAATTATACGAATTTAATAAAAAGAGAAGCAATAACACTGCATTTAAATTAAGAACATAATTATTTAATGAAAAAAATTAACTTTGCCAAAAAAGTTATACGAATTTAATAAAATGAGAAGCAATAACACTGCATTTAAGTTAAGAGTATAATTACTTAATGAAAAAAATAAATTTTGCCGAAAAAATTATACGAATTTAATAAAATGAGAAGCAATAACATTGCATTTAAATTAAGAATATAATTATTTAAGGAAAAAAATTAACTTTGACGAAAAAAAGAGAGGAGCTTTGTATTCGGGCGCGTTTCAGTTGCAAAATCAGGTACCACAAATAATCATCGTAATGGGTCGAACGATATTAAAGAAAGGCTTTTCAGTCGTGATTCGATTGACATCAAAGTTGTCTCAGAATCGAGAAAAACAGCTTTAAATTTTTGATGCTTAGTCTTATTAGGAGCGAATAAAGCGAGCGAGCAGGCTTACTATAGCTTATTGTTACGACCATTTAAAAATGAAAAGGAATCTGGTATTCGAGTGTTTTAGTTTTTTTTGTTTCGACCATTTGAAAATGTGGAGTAACTTGGTATTCGGGTGTGTTTTAGTTTTCCACGCAAAATTAGGTACCACAGATAATCATCAAAATGTGTCTAGTGATATACCAAATTCAAGCCCCTTTCAGTCGTGATTCGAATTACATTAAAAAATATTCAAAAAGTTACTCAGGGTCGAGAAAAACTGGTTTAAAATTTTTGTTTCTATTTCGAGCAAAAAAGCAAGCGAGCAGGCTTACAACAGCTTATTTATGCTTAATTTAAGACATGAAAACTTAATTTTACTCGAGAAAAATTAGTGTTTTGAGTTTTTCAGCGCTTTTTGGACTCAAAAACTGAAAAAATGGTCGGAACATTCTTTGCAACTTGCACAGTAACCGGCTATCATTGTTTTATAGTTGAATTTTTCATAGAAATTCTTTGAATGACCGGAAACCAACTTGTGATTTTAAAAAAAAAATTTTTCATGGCACTTAAACATTCTTTTGATTTTTCGATTGTGATCCAAATCAATCAAAGGTATCTATCGATAACTTGAATGAAGCCAACCACACTTATTTCAGTTCATTACACGTGATGTGTTCTTCGGAAGTTGACAGCTGACCTGTTTCTCTCCTGGTCGAATGGGTAGAAGAACGCGACTATGAGGTTGATGAGGACAGCCAGATTAAAAGAGATCGTACCCCACAGAGACATGTTGGTGCTGATCCAACACAACAGCGGCTGTGCTGAAACACAAAGACCACAGCCGATAGTAAAGAGTTCATTTTCAGAGAACGACTATTCAAAATACGCTACACAGCAAGAACGTAATTGAACTCCCTTATACAGTTGAGAGAACGTATACGTGATTATATTTATAAGAAACCTTAGTTAGACCCTGGACTAAATCTGAACTTTCCACTTGTAAACTTTGCAACTGACAGAATGAACTAACATCTCAGTTTCTTCTGCCATTTCATCTCCATAAACATGTCGTCTGTCTTGTCGAAAAAGTCAGTGACCTTTGACCCCTGGTCATCCCTTTCAGTCGTAGTGTACACAAGCATCTTGGTCTCCCCCGTCAAGTACTCACAAATTGGGGGAACAGGGAACACTATCCGTTCCATCACTCTATCCGCTCTCACAATCTCTATCTGGGCTGTGTGGCTGGCGTAATGGTCCAGAGCAGCTCTGTCCGGCTCATTTTTGGAATGTTCTGGACTAGAAAACATTGGAGTTGCTAGTTGATGGAATTGAGATTACTTATGAGGGAAATGACCAGCATTTGCGAGGTTCAGCTCAACAAGAATAACCACTTAGTTTAGAAACTAATTTCTAGGCTACTTTTCCGGAAATTTTTCATCGAACATGAGGGCGAATCAAGGTTAATTCGAATCAGGGGCAGATTTAGGGGAAGGCCCCCCTCAGGGATTCGAACCCCTCACCAACCCAAGGGTCCCCTCCGATCAACTCTAAAATTCAAACTCACCAATCAACACTAAAATTTTTGTAAAAACGCCTTTGCCAATACATACTAATTTTGAATGGGAGCGCGCACCGAAAATACGCAATTTGTTGGTTATAATTTTCTAGAAAGTGCCCAAAAACGGCAGAAAGTGCCCAAAAACGGCAGAAAGTGCCCAAAAACGGCAGAAAGTGCCCAAAAATGTGGGAGTGCTCGGAAAATTAATTTGGTCAACCTAAAAAAAAGGCTGACATAATTTTTATTCAAATCGCCACTTTCACCCTCAATCTCATAGCTGGAACAGTTTCAGCTATAATTTGATAAGTCATCAAATAAAAATGTTCATCCAAAATTTGTTCAAGAAAAATTAGCACCCGAAAAAACTCAATTCAGGGTCCATGAATGTGAGTAATGGCGGCTTCGTTCACTCACACTGTGGGCTTGGGTCTTGGTGGGTATGAATCTGTTAGATGTAACCCACTTCCAGCCCTGAGAAAAAGAAAAACATAAAGAGTTACATAATTATAAATTTGGCCATATTCCTGTTGACACTAGTGCATTGCCGTGACCATAAGCATGTTGACTCTAGACGTACAAAACAACCCGTATATTCGCATACCGTTTCTTTTGGCTACACAAATCGTGAATAAATGTGAATATATTCGGTATACATCCAATGATCCAAATAAACACCGTATAATTTTTTGGTATATTTCGAGTATTCCGTGTAAAAATACAAAGTGTTCTTTTAATCAAAATTTCAAGGTATATGATTTGATTTTGCGTCTGCTGTTTGCGCATTTCAGGTCAGAAGTACTTCTGCAGGGAAGCTGCAAATTAAGCCTAAATTTCAAGTACATAACTTTAGTGCTATGATTTTGCTTATGATTTAAGTTCTGATGTATAAGTAACGATAATAGATTTACACTCGTTACTCCAGGAATGGTACAAGGAGTATACAGAAAATAGACTGGTTGGTTGACACCCAATAACCGCTTCATCTAATTGTAATTAGTTTACGATTAGTCAAAATGTACAGAAAGTGCATGACAAGCAACCTCAAAAGGCCCTGATTTTAGTATAATAATATATATACTATAAATGACTTCGTTGATAGCCAGTAATCTATGAACCAGAGTTAAAAACACATATGCAGCAGTAGTTACCTTATATAAGTTGCCAGTTCCTTATTGTGTTGGGACAACTGGTGTGCTAGAATGTATATGTTGTGTCCCACTTGTCTGGGGGATGTCTCGTCGTCATCGTCCTCGTCATTCGTGGAGTCCAGGTCGTCAATAGATCCTCCGGCTACTAGTCCCATACCATTGTTGTCGTTGATTGATCCTTCCGCATATGCTTTCTTTATCACTTCCACCTACCAATTCAGTCAGTATGAAAATAAATCTCAAAATACGATCTTCAAGGCAGTCAAATCTTATTCAATTTTTCGATTCAAATAAGGGTTCCGAATGGAAAAATCTTGGAATAATTAAAGGAACATGCAGTAGAGGGTTGAGGGTTTTGGAAAGGGTAAATATTTCATTTTTTTTAAAAAGCGTCCAAAAATACATTTAAGAGCCTCGTTTTGTAGTAAGTAGCGCGTTGCCCGTCAAAATTAGCATGTTGAAGCCGAATGTTTCTTTAGAAAAAATTGTAAGGTTGGCCGACCAAAAAAGGATATCGAAAAAAGCATACTTGTGTGGGCATGTCACGCCTGGGAACAAAGAACTTTTTATTTTTGAGATGAGATGAATAGCCTTTTTTAATAAAATTTTCAACCTTGTGTTTCAAGTGAGTTTTGGTAAAATGTAAGGTTTGACCAAAAAAGTTTCTTTGGCCCGCACTTCCAATTTCACAAAAGTTGGGCGGCAACGGCGCCTTAACAACCTCGTAGGGTCGATCTACCAAATATAAATGCCGCGAAGCTGTAGCAAAGCGAAAACCTTTTGCCCTTGAAAATTGACCCTTAAATGTGTAATCAATTGACTCTAATTACAATCGATCTCGTCTAACCAATTCTCTTGGTGTCATATTATAGAGTATCCTCTCTGCGTTCTCCGAGTCCAATCTGCTCTCCATAATGGCCAGGAGAAGCTTGCTCGCATTGTTCCTCAACTCCCACACAAAGTCCATCCTCCTCTCGCCTAGTGGAGTAATGTCTTTCAGAATGAGGGCGATGATGATGTCAATCCCATTGGACTCATGCACTGCTATTGCGTTCTGAAAAATGGACAAATATTTAAAGCTGTCAAAAAGATCGTTTACGCGATTAAAAAAAGCCCACAGGATAGTCTCTTTCTTAGATCCCAAAATATCATAAAAGGATTTTGGAAAAAAAATTCAATTTAAGAAATTTAAAAGTTCTAAAGGATGTTTCCAGTGTGTTGTAATATCTTTTCCCTGATAAAGTTATTTCGGAAAAATGAATTGATAAAAGACCACCGATTAGCTAACTTGGTTTTCGTGACATGGGCCCTGACAGTACTCAGTAAGTGTCTCCAGAGCCTGGTTGATGAGATTGGTGTTGTTCTCGTTGATGTAGAGACCCAGCAGTCCTAGGCCTCCGGTGGTGCTGCCACAGATACAGTCCAGGAACTGCAACGTCTCACAGACCATGTTGTATTTGCTTTTAGTGCTCTGCACGCGCAGGAAGTTCTGGAATAATTTCATGCAAATACTCGCAATTAAGATAGATTTGCAGAACAAAACCGGGCTTCAATGAAAAGAATATCGTTTTTACAGGGGCATTTTAAAGCCATTTAGGACATTATCACAGAAAGATCCAAACTCTATAATCATTGATTTTTAACTTAATTCCGAACTCTTATTTTTTCCCCGAAAGTTTAATAATTAGGCCATAATTCAAAATCAGATTCGGGGTGATCAGAGATAAGTCATTATTCAATGCCCTCGTAGGTTGCCTGACAAATATATATCCTTAGAACCATTTTAAACGTTTCTAATATCTTTTCGGATTCCGAATCACGACTGAAGCGGCTTAGCATCAAACTTGACCTGCAGCAAAATTTGCGAGGAACCTAAATGATTTAGCGCAGTTAAAATTTAGCAGTAAAAGATACTTAGCAGTAAAATTTAGAGAAAGTAGTTTAGAGCGCTAACAATCCTCCAGTTACGTCACACATTTCATAGATACATTGAAATCGATTGAAACTTACCTGTAGATCAAGATTGTGGTTTTCACAAAGCAGCTGCAAAAACCGCAAAATTGGCTGCATGATGAGGACTTTCTCGGATAGAGTAGCTCCCCCGAGTCCCTTCGAGCTCTGGTCTGACTGGAACTTCTTGGTTCCACGTCCCGAAGAGTCTCCATCATCGTACCTAGGTAACATCAATTTTATTCAAACAATCGAGGGAAAACTTTGAACATTTTCAGGACTTCTAAGACAACTTATTCACGTTACTAAGGACCAAAATACGAGCTGTTGAACTTTTTAAGGAGAACCACTGTTGTGCCCCTGGTTCGGAACTACATGCAATGTTTTGGTTGTTTTTCGTAACTTAGTTATTTGCATTTCAAACCTTTTTATAGCTCCTCCGTTCTCCACAATTACACCCTTTCCCTTTCTGCTGGTGGCTAACATCAAGTTCTTCCTGTTGGCCATAGCGATAGAGTCAGCACTGGATCTACTTCTCACTCTGTTTCTGAAGAAGTTCATCACTGCTGACTGAGTGCTGTCTTTGTGGGATTTATGCGACTCATTGCGCTGCACTGATGACGTTTGTGCTTCTAGAGCAAACCTCGCGTGGTGCTGTCCACTAACTGCAGATTTGTGTTTTGGAGTAACTTCAGCTGAGCTGCTTCCAGCGGCGTCTTTCGAATTCTGCATTCCCATATTACGCAGCGCTAAAAAAGTACAATCATCATCTTTAAAAATTAATTCAACAAGCTATAGAAAAATCACGAGCTTAAATTTAATAATTAGGGTTCACATACAATTTCACACTCATGCATATGATGCAATTCACACACCATGACGACCAGTTTGCTGACAATCTATTAACACACCATCTATATTTTGTCAAATTGAAGTTAACAACTTTCCCGGTGTTTCTTTACAACTTGAGAACGCAATAAAATGACGACAATTATATTTGCGTATTACTTTTCGTATTATGGATAACTCACTAACTTATTCAGACAAATTCGCTAAATATAGTATTAGTCCCGGAAAATATTCCTTTAAGCATTACTAAAGAGCTCAAAATTATTGAGGTCAAAAATATCACTGAATAAGTGTTCCGACCACTTCGAAAAATTAAAAGTTTTTAATTTGACATGACACTCGGTTCCGACTTACCATTAACGCATTTTTTAAATTAATTTCATAAACCTATTAATATAGTTTAAAAAATCAGTCTTCAAAACAGTCAGAAATATTGTTTCTATTCTTCAATAGCCGAGAAACCAAATATTAATCGCATATGATGAAAGACTGTTAGCCTGTATAAGATTACTTCGGTTTGTATCGATACCCTTGATTTCTAGACTGAGTAATTTAATGGCGAAATAACACAATTCGCTAAACCCTTGGGAAGGTCAGCAGCAATTGACTAATACTCTTGAAATCGCAGTAGCAAGTTTCAATCGTTAGACAGTGGTAAAGTATCAGCTATTCTAAAGCTCGACTAGCATATCAATTATTTAACGGTAACTTGTATCGTATAGCATAAACAAATCAAACCTGAGCATTTGCATCTACACTAGTTAACAAAATTAAACGCAAATTCAAGTTTTACTCTCTAAAAGGCCTAATTTGAAGACCACTTCGGACAATATTTATTTTGAATTTTAACAAAACTTTTACATCAAAGGACAGCAAATGCTCTAAAGTACCCTCTAGTAAAGTTTCAATTTTTAATTTGAACTATTTACACGTTTTTTCCGCGTCTGAAAAAGCCAGTTTTCATTATCCGCACTAAAAATTTTCACTTCGCGTGAAAAAGCCGGAATTAGTAAAACCTTCGACTATTTCTTTCAATTTTCTCGCTGAGGTTTCACGTCGCATGAACATTTTTTACTCCGCTTATTCAGAAAAGAATTCTCTACGATGCAAAACTTAGTGCACATGAGGAAAACTGGCATTTTCAGACCCGGTTTATTTTGTTAAGTAATTGAAAACAAAATATTGTTGTTTCATGAAAGGCAGCTTTGATCGTTTGCAAAATTTTGTTTTAATTCCACATGAAAGTTGTCCAAAATCATCCTTGAAAACAGGTATTTTAGAGAAAAAATATGAATTTGCGCCTAATTTTGTCCACTAGTGTATTTCATTGCTAATATCTAACATTGATATTTCGAACAATTGAGTCATGCATTATAACTAATTTTTTAACAATGTTTTCAAAAAATCAGAATTTTTTTGAACAAACTATACCTAACCAAGAAAAACGAATAAGCTGATCATATAATCTATTCATGTGGCCACAATTTATTTAAAGAAACTTAATGTGCTCGAATTTCTCATAAGCAGGCAGACATAAATATAACATTTACATTTTACACTGTTATAGTCAATCATATCAAATAATCAACAAAGATATACGTTTGCTGTGAAGGTAGCACAGAATGTTCCGACCATATTCTCAAAAATACCGTTTTTTTTGCCTCCAAATTAGTGTTGTTTTTGAGCGTGGTATGATTAAAAGATCTAAAAATAACCTGAAATTTACATACGTTCGACAATCGCAGTAAAATGGGCAAATCACGCAACGGTTTTTGTCGAAAAATGACTAGAAAAAAAATAAAAAAAGTCCTTGGCTTATCTTTCAATAATAAGCCTGCTCGCTTGCTTTAATCGTTGGAAATTAGACTAAGACTCAAAATATTTATTTCAACCAATTTTTATCAAAATTGGGATATTTGGGAGATAATATGGGAAATTGGGATATATTTGGGATATCAAAATTGGGATATATTATATATCACTCGACTAATTCCGACGACTTTTTGTGGTTCCAAATTTTGCGTTAAAAATAAAAAGAAAAACAAAAAAAAAACAAACACACCCGAATGCAAAGTTCCTCCCCGTTTTCAATGGTCGGAACAATGAAGATTTTATTTCACCAATCTGTTTTCAATAAAAAAAATTAGATTGAGCTAACTAAAATAACTTTCAGAAGGAGTGCATAAAAAACCGGGCTTCAACAAAACTAATTACACACAGAGGCGAATCTGTGTAAGGAGGCGAACACAAGCAACAAAAAAAGGCAAAAACAAAATCAACGAAATAGAAAACAGACAAGTAGAAAATACTTTAAAATCCAAGATATCGAACAATATTTATCAACTTATCAATTTCAAAGGAAACAAAAATTTCACCTTAAAGTTCTTCCCAATTCAAAACATAGCCAACATGCAGTCGAAAAAGTGTCCATGAACGCTAGATTCAAAGTAAAAAATATATGGCGTTCCGGCTCCTTGCATTTCAAAAACAATAATCGATTAACTGTTTTATGGTAATGATAAATAAGTTTAATGATAAAATAAAATAATCGATTTAGAGAAAACTGGATCAATATACAAAGTTTATCTTCCGCTGAAAAAACTTCCGCTAAAATTTAAAATCCACTTTGGAAACTAAAATCCGTTAACGATTTTTCGCACCATTTCTGCTTTCATTATTGGAAAGCGGAACCTCCCTTCCTTGGAATAATGAATTTTAATTAAACTTGAAAAGAAACCAGAAGTTAATCCCGAGTAGATGAAAAATAGTCTGACAAATTAAATTTTTTTCCTCAATTATCACGACCTATAAAAGTGTCATCAATACAGCACCATTGACACTTGAATCTTTTAAAACATTTTTTGAGAAAACTGGAATCGATAAATTTTTCAATACACAAGCAAAACAATAAAGTAAAACCCATTATTAAATTCACATTAAGAATACCTTTAAATACACCTTAAAAAGAAATAGAAAAAAAAACTGTGAGCAATCGAATTTTAGGGTTATCAAATTTAACGTGTCTTTCCTGAAAAAAAAAAACAAATAAAAAATTCACCAAGACCAATACAAGTGAAAATCATTTCGCTCTTTTACAATTCAAAACTTTAACACTTTGTCTGGAATAATGTTCCATTTGCGACAAACACATTTGACGGCGTTATCTGAAAATTCAAAAACAAATATCGAGCGTCAAACGAGCCAACAAAACATTTTTGTGAGATCGGGATGGTAGCATAAACATTATAATTATAAGCATTTGTTGCCTCCATATCATTTGTACTTGAAATGCTAAGAAAAATGAATTCATTGGGAACCCATTTACAACGTGATTCTTTTAAAGAAGTTGTTAACCGGAAAAACATTTATACTCCGATTTGATAACGATTGCTAATCGCAAGCGTAAAAAGCGCGGTCATTTAAAATGTTTAAAAGCTCAAAATATGTATTTACAACAGAAAATACAAGTAGATGAATCCTGTGAACAAACTATTTTACGGGGAAAAAATTGGTACACGGTTGCAACACACTTGCTCTCGCAAGTATAGATACAACCAAAAACAGACTTCTCAAAACCTTGCTTCAAAATTTTGAGAAGAGCTTCTCATACTACCTACAAAAACTGCTCATTCCTGAAAAACTGCTCATTCCAGTTTTTCATCAACTACTAAAAAAATTACGATGGAAAAAATTAAGGCAATGATATTGGTTTGCTGGTACTGTGGGCATCTGGAACTGCGGCCACTTTTAGTGATTTGCTGGTACATCGGCCAACATGAATTTGTAGAGATACTGAAACTAAGCACAAAATCTGAACAACTCAAAATTGGATCAGTACATAAGACCATTACTCCCTTCGGGGTTTCGTAAAGTTACAATCCACTTTTGAAACTAAAAAGACGAAGCCAGAGAGCGCATACAGAGGGCAAATATCTTCCTTAATTGATGCCACAAACCAACCAGGTGAGGGACGTTTACGGTACTACTATGATAGAGTGGTCCCAAGAAAAAGCAATTATGATAGACAGCTCCCGCATTCATTTTGCATGGCATAATTTTGATAACTAATTTATGAATAAATTATTCATTTCAAACATCGCGCAGAATATGTTGAGTCAAGAAACAGTTCAGGTAAATAATTGCAATTACTATCTTATTTATATCAAGAATATGCTCGCTTCAACTTATTTTACGGTTTAACAACAATAACTGTTTTGATTTATTTGTCATCAAACCTCAATGTTTACCTTTTCTGTGAATTTTCTATCTTAAAATGATGAGTGGGGAGGTTTTACGAAGTAACGAAACATAAACTGGTTTGAAAATATACAGTGACATCTTTTCTGAATGTCTAAATCCTAATTACTAAACGCTTTCAGAGCCCCAGGTGTCTTATTCTCAAAGGACCTGGTTATTTTCAAGGGACCACTCTATCATAGTAGTACCAAGTTGAAAAAAAGACCGAAAATTACATGAGCCAATCAAAGTTCAGCTCTCAAAAACTCGAAAAAAATGAGCATAACAATCAGTCGATTTGGAAGAGTTTTAAGAACGCTGACTGACTGAAAGCTTTCGGGCATTCTGCCTTCTGTTGCGCGAACAGCCCCCGACAGATTATCGAAATTTGCTGAAACAACTAGAAGACAATAAGTTGCTGCTCTGGTGAGAGGAACCTGATGAAATGAGGTTAGCTTAAGCAGCGTGTTCACTAAAACACCCTCAACTCAGTTGATCATTTACATTAATACATACATAGCTGCTGATTCAACTGCTGTTATATCATTCAAAGGCTGCGAGTTATTTTAAAGGTTACATTTGTTAAAAAATGAGATATTCATCGAACTAAGTAGAGCAGAATTCAAACAGTTTGGGTAAACTAGAGCAAGAATATGGGGGATCGGACAAACAAACAAACTAACACAATAAATAATGTGTTTATACATTGATAGATTATCTTTGCTCTGATCTGCTTTAATAAATAACTGCTGTTGTAGCGCTGGCGCTGTTATAATTGATAACAAATTTATTGTCCAACTTGAATAATTCACATACCTTTAAATTGTCTAAAACCTTTGTTCCAGGTAATTTTTTTTTTCAAAAACAATTATGAAAACTTTCAATTCTCGATCTTATTATTAAAAAAACATAAGAAATTGAATTGAAAGTCTGGCATGAACAAACATACCAAAGCAAAATCAAACAAATACACCTTAAAATTCTCCAAAAGCTGTATTTATTTCGTTGAGCAATAAACTTGATACCAACTGAACTGTAGCTAGCATTTAACAGCACAAGTATGATAATTGGGTCCATTGCATAAGTTAGTACGAGAGATGGTCCCGCCATGTTTATTTAAGGTTTTTAAATGCAAGGAAACAAGTGTAGCTATGTTTCAATAAACTTAAGCGTCCAACTTTTTCGTTGAAGGACCCATCTATATTTTAGGGACCAAATTATCATACTTGGGGTGAGTATTCAACTTACCAAGGATAGAGCGCATCTGCGTGAAGACTGAAGAAAAACACAGCACAGCTTAGAAAAAGCCAACAGGGTTAATTATTGCATAATAGAACCACACAAGACTTCTAGGTCGCACATAGACCAGCTAACCATATAAAACATCCGAAAATACAAGACAATTGCATAATAAAATTTATTTACACAGAGGCGAAACTGCACTTCGCAAACACAGACAAAAAATGACAAACAGGAGCTCTGAAACGCAAGAAACACTAGTTTAATTAAATGAGCTTCACTAAATTACCTTGGATTTAGAGCAATTTTTTTCCAAATGCGCCATAACGCCTTCCTATCTTCGAAGACTTGGCTCTATTAAAGCGGATACAACACTGGTGATTGAAACACCAATGCTATAATGCTATGCAGCTATTTTTACTCGAGTTATGTGAGAAAATTAAACTCGTAGTATAACAAGCGTTTTCTTGCAAATTATATAACAGTTACGAAGCTGCGCGAATTTCAACACAAATTACGTAACTTTTGGCTGGTTAATAAACTTTTTTTTTCGGATCGCATACACTTCAGCTGGTTTATTCACACTTAAGTCTTCAAGTCGCCATGTCCTATCATCTTCTAATGAATGCTTTTGCACAATGCAATACCAAGTATATAATTGAACAAATCAAAATAGATCACCCTAAAGCTCTTCAAAGTTCCAGAAATCTTTTACGATTGTCAGTTTGAATTTCCGATAAACTGACTCAATTTGAGAAAACTGGGTCAAAGGGTAATTTTAGAATTCCGCAGCAAAATTTAAAATTAAATTTCTCTTAGAAGCTTAAATCATTCACGTTTTTTTCGCAAACAAAAACAAACACGAACGCAGTGGTCAACTCAGCTGTTTTACCCTCAGCCGTTAGGTGAGGTATAAACTGTATAATTTCGATGTTCAAAGTCTATGCTTAATCGCTAACTAAGAATTGGAATATGAAGAGATAGAGAGAGCAACTTAAATTCAGTTTGGAACGTTAAGTCTGGTCGACGCTGACCTCGAAGCATTTGAGATACGGCGTTTCATAATAACTAATACATATGTTGTTAGGTATAGATAGATACTTATTTAATACGCAGACTTCTATATGTATTATGTAATCAGTTAGGTTTATAATATGTAAACATTACCAACTGGTAGTTTTAGCACCTAATTCTACATTGTTTATAAAGGGATGTTTTACTACAATATCCGTATGGATAACATTTCCCTCCTTGCGAGAAATTGAGTTTTCAATTTAAGGATTTTCAAGATCCTCCGCCTGGCTTGTGGACTTTTGTGTATCTCCTTCTTTTTCCCTCTGAAAGGTCATGGAATTTCCTCTAATCGGGCTGATCGATTGCAGGAAATTCATAGCGTCCTCAAAGTCTTTACTGAAGGAGTCCTCTGTGATCTTTTGTTTGTCTAGTATGTAACGTGAGCTTGTGGTTCTTGGTGGTGTAGCGGTTGTGGTTGTTTCGCGGGCGTTTTCAGGCGTATCGTTACTCATAAGAACTTCTGTACACACTATTTCCTCTGACGTTGCCACTGATGGCGATAGGCATACTGTGGTCTCTTTGTCTATCGTGGTTTGTGCGTCGCATATGTCGATGGTATTGGAGGTGTTAGGTTCCTTTGATGTAATGTCCTCCGTATTTGCATGTTCGATGGTTGCTACCATGCCTGACATATCTGTATTGGTAGATATGTTACCAATTGGAATTGCTTTGCCGAATTTTCCGGCTAACGTGCTTGTTCGTGCTCGCGTCGATCTTCGAATTTCCGGCGAGTTTGTTTCCGGTGTGGATTTTCGATCAATTCGTTTGGCTGCGGGTTGTTTACTTGGAGATGGGGTTTTATGGTCGAGCTCTATATCCGATGAAAGTGAAATCGAGGTGTCACAGTCGAATTCGATCGTTGCGGGGTCGGCTTTAGCTTTTTTCTTTGGGCTAATTGTTCTCCGTGGAACCGATTTTGCCGGGAGGCGTTGCGTTGCTGGTTTGCTGCTGTTGCGGGCATTCTTCTGATTTCTTGATGTAACTGTTGATAATAACTTTTGTGGGCCGAGAGCTCGTCTGTTGAGTGTTTGTTGTAGGACTTCCTGAGTGGATTTTGGAGGTGGTTTTCGGGGATTGTCGATGATTTGTCTTCTGGTTTCTTTTGTGCCCCCATGCTAGGTGACTTTGGTCCTAAAATACGCGGTTTAGCTCTTGTTAGGTGTTTATAAGCGACAAAGTCCTTTAGTGCCGCTGGTCTACATTTACCATATACTCTTGGATCCGGTATGAATGCAAGACCGTCGTGTCTAATTAACCTAGGTTGCTTCCCGTCTTCCATTATCCACGCAGTATGTGGGGAGTAATTCAATATTGCGCCATTTTTAATAATTTTGAATTGTGCCCCGAATGTTCCCGCATTTTTAGTTTTTCTCGCTATTGTTCCCGTTTTCCTAGCGACCTGTTCTAGACGTAGTCCTGTTTTAGGATCTATGGTATGTGCTGGACCCTTAAAACGGTCCTTCAGGAATACTAACGGAGCTCTGCGTAGATTTTCCTTTTCTTGTTTTGTTAGGAGTCTTATGGGGTTACGTGTTCTTACGTTTTCCAAGTTATTAGATTTTTCTTTTAGGAAAGCTTCCTGGAGTGATCTGGCTTCATAAGGTTTGTTTGATAAAGGTAGATGCGCACCTATTGGGAATTTCTGGAGTAGCCTCCGGTCGAATTCCTCATCACTACTGTCGAGTGTTACTGCATCCTTGTGTGTGCGTACATCCGGTTGGAGGTGTGCGCGTCGTTTTCCAGATGTTGTGGCTGTGTCATGATGAGCCTTGGTTGTGCTTTGTTCCGCGTTGTTTTTTTCTGGTGAAGCCGGGTTGAACGTCGGTTCTGGCACATATTGGTGATCGGATGTGGGCTTCTGCTTGTATTTGAGATCCAACTCGTCCTCGCTGTTGACTTCTCTGTTCCACATTGTTTCCGCCGACAACGCTGGTTTCGTTAGTACTTTTTCGTCTAAACATGACAGTTTCGTATTTTGCCACGAAAGGTTTGACAATTTTGACGATGTGCTAAGATTACTTAGGGGTGTATTAGCTTTTCTACCATAGTGAGATTCAAATGGTGTAACTTTTGTAGAAGTGTTAGGTGTAATACGGAGTGTTTTTATTAATTCAGCCACGTCTGATGCTAATTTATACGGACGATTTGATTTATCTATCTTCATAATTGCTAATCGCGATTTTAATGTCCGTATGAGCCTTTCGACCATACCTATAGCTCGATGGTCGTCCACCGGTGCGAAAATCAGTTTTATGTTATGCGCTTTACAATAAATGCGGAACTTTTTGGCCCTGAAACCTTGTGCTTGGTCGCATCTGATCGCACGGGGTACGCCCTGGTTGACTATGTGGTTTTGCATAAAGCGGATGATTGTATCCGCTTTGTTATTGGTAACAACTTTTGCGTACGGAAAACGTGAGAAGCGATCGACACCCACCAATATGTAAACTTCCTTATCGTTTTCATCCGGTAAGGGTCCTGCAAAATCCAATTGGATTTCTTCATTCGGTTCTACCACCGCGTCCAATGTTGAGTAGTGTTGTTTACCCGAGATAACTTTAAAGTTCTTACCCTTTTCCCGGCAGTTTTTGCAGTTTTGAGCAGTTGCCACAATGTCTCGGTGGAGGTACGGATACCACACATGTCTTGCAGCCTCTAGCATTCCACCTTGTCCTGGATGTGTGAGGTGTAATGCATCCATTTTGTTAGCTTCATCGTCATCCCTCATTGTTGTTCTTACTGCTGACGTGATTGTCGTAGCCAGTAGGTTGGCTGTTTTCTCGTTTACGAACGATGTTGGTGATCCTGTGTCGGCGATAAAAACGATGTTGTTTTTCCCCGAGCGCACCCGTATAAGGTGTCCTTTAAGATCTGTGTCAAGTAATTGTTCTGCCCGTCTTGGTTCAAAATTTATCCAGTTTGTGGATGTATCGTCCGGATGGATTAGTTCCCACCCCGGGATAACGTCACCCGCTTGTAGATAATTGACGTAGGCTGTCATATCGGTGCTTTGATGGTCTTGTTGTTGTTGATTCTCCTCTTGAATTGCGTTTACCTCGCTAGATTTACACAGTCTTGCGAAATGGCCCCTCTTGGTGCACTTGTTGCAAATTTTGTCACGCGCCGGACATTGGGCTAAATGAGTTGCTGAAAATGCATTTCCGCATTTGAAACAATCTTTCCTCTGTCCGGCCTTTTCCGAATAGTTCCTTGGCGTTTGTCCTCCTCTGCCGCGTCCCCCTCTCTGTTGAGATTTATATCCACCCCGCTTTTGGACGAAGTTTACTGGTTCGGATTTTATATTCGGGAGTCCGGTATGACTATTTGAAGTTCCTTGTTTTCTTATGTAAACTTGGTTCTCGGGACCTTTTTCACGTTTTATTGCGTAGTCCAATGCTTGTGCGGGTGTTTTTGTTTCGGCGAGAAGGTCTTTTTGAACTTCGTCGTTTGACATATTTGCCGTAAATAGATCTCTGACTATTTCGGACTCCAGGCCTACATCGTTGCATGCCGTGCATTTGAAGTTTCCTTTTACCACAAGTTCCGTGAGTCCGCAGTGGAATTCTTCCAGGGATTCCGTTTTCCCCTGTTTGCGTGTAAAAGCTTCGTACCGATCGAATGTTACGTTGCGTTCTTTAACAAACAGTCGTGTTAGGAGTGTCCAAAATTCTTTGGTGGAGGTATCTTGAATTTTAAGATTTGGGTAATATTGTGTGAGTCGTCTTTGTCCCTCCGTCCCCAAACACAAATATATGTAACTTCGGCATTTGATATCGGCTTCCTCCCATGGTATGCCGTCGACGGTGGGACCGAGGTTATCCAAATGTTGACACTGATTCTCCCATGCTACACGTTTTTCTTGGTTACGTAGGTTTCGATCGCGTATTTGTTTGTCTGTTTCCCCATCTATATTCAGTTCATAGCCTGGTTCTTGGGGTTTCCGAACAGCTGGAGGGTTGCGTAGGAGTTTGTTCAAATTCATCCCATCTTTGGCGATGATGCCAAGAAACAGCTGCTGGTTCCATTTGTCCCACTCTACTGGTGGTTCCGCGGACGCTTTCTGCCAAAACGGCGTAATCCCCAATGGGTTCTTGGTGAGTGCTGGCTGCGCCATGTTATACCCTCAGCCGTTAGGTGAGGTATAAACTGTATAATTTCGATGTTCAAAGTCTATGCTTAATCGCTAACTAAGAATTGGAATATGAAGAGATAGAGAGAGCAACTTAAATTCAGTTTGGAACGTTAAGTCTGGTCGACGCTGACCTCGAAGCATTTGAGATACGGCGTTTCATAATAACTAATACATATGTTGTTAGGTATAGATAGATACTTATTTAATACGCAGACTTATGTATTATGTAATCAGTTAGGTTTATAATATGTAAACATTACCAACTGGTAGTTTTAGCACCTAATTGTACATTGTTTATAAAGGGATGTTTTACTACAATATCCGTATGGATAACATCAGCACAACCGAAAACAATTGTCTTCGAACAACGAAACATAGTCAACATACTTGAAAAAGTGTCAAAAAACGCAGAAAAAAAACTGACTTCCGAAGAAAAAAATATTATAGCTATCCTAACCTAACTTGAGAAAACTAGATTTTTCAATCCTGTGGGAATCTTACAATCGTAAGACACTAGTAAAAAGTCGACTTTTTGGGACCTAAATCTTACGAAACGTTCAAACAAGTGGACTTTTTGAGACCTAAATTAGACTAAAACTCAGAAATTTTGAACCAGCTTCTCTCGATACAGGGAGAACTTTCTGAAAATATTAAAGGCATTTGAATCACGCCAGCTAAATCTTTGAAACGAGACCTTTTCAGACCTATAATAGATTCAGCAGAAACAAAGCATAAGCAGAAAAATAATAGGCCGAACATAGCCCGTTTGAAAAAAAAAACAAGTCCTTGTCAGATTCGAAAGCAGGACTAAAGGTACCGGAGACACCAAGAAATTTAAATTTAATATGAACCAAGATACCAATTGATTCTGCTAAAGTATAGTTCCAACTGATAGTAGGAAAAGAGTAATGAACGCAAGGAAGAAGAAAAAAACTGACTTGTTAAATGAAAAAACCGTTAACTTTCGATGTGAAATATATGCTCCTAGTGCTCTTTGAATTTCAAGAATACTTTATGATATGTGCTTTTTGATATGCGCTTTTCGAAACCTGGATCAATAGGTAAAATTTCTATTTAGCTGGGAAATCTGAAAATTAAAATACACTTTCGCAACTAGAAGTCGATCAAGTTTTTTGTAACCTTTACACTTCTGCTGTTCGATAGTTGAGTTCATTTTCCTTTTTAGATGAAAAATGAACTGGACCTGAAAAAAATCAAGTGTCAAACCGCGAAAAATCGAAATTAAATGTGAACAAATTAAGACTTTTCCTGAAAAAAAAAAACACGAGCTAAATAAGAGTCTTCCTCGTGTTCATCACCTCTGAACACTCACGAGTTATTTCTCATTTGACTCTTATGGAAATTTTGAAGAACATAGCCAACAGACCATTGAAAGTAAACTAAAAAAATTGCCTTTTTTATTTTTGAAAACTTTTTCTAATTTCTCAAAAATATAGATCTCAAAGCTCTTAAAATTTGTGAAAAAAACTTATGATTGACAACTTTCTGATAATACTAACCCAAAAAGAAACAAGGATAGCCGGTTACTGTGCAAGTAACACAGAATGTTCCGACCATAGTCTTTAAAAAACTAGGTTTAGAAAGTTTTTTTCCAAATTAGTGTTGTTTTTCTGCTTGGTGTGATAAAAGGATCTGACGTAAAAAATATAAGTAAGGCATACTAGACAGCCATAGTAATATAGGCAAATTGGACAAAATTTTTGTAGAAAAATGACTAGAAAAACTTTTTGCAGAAGATTTTTGACTTTTTCGAAGTTATTGGTTCCCAAAATGATGCTAAAAAACTACAAAAACTAGTTTTACTTGCTGAAGATTAAGTTTTAAGGTCTTAAATTAGGCGTAATTCAGCTGTTGTAAGCCTGCTCGCTCGCTCGAAATAAGACAAAAATTTCAAACCGGTTTTTCTTGACACTAAAAACAAATTTTGGGAATTTTTTAATGTGGTTCGAATCACGACTGAAAGGGGGCTTTACTATAATATATCAATAACCCTGTCCGATGATTATTTGTGGTACCTGATTTTACGTGGAAAAAAACTAAAACACACCCGAATACAAAGTTCCTCCCAATTTTCAATGGTCGGAACAAAAACCTGAAACCCTCCAAATTAGACAAAAATGACCTCAGAGGAATGCTTATTGAACAAAATCGATTGCTTTTAATCTGTTTTCTCAATGAAGGTCAACTTCAACCTCGGAGGCATTGGTTTTTAAAGTCTAATTGAGAGTTCACTTCGTCCACGATGGCAGACAAAATTTTTGTCAGTTTTTTGGTTAAGAAAAAACATAATCAATAAAATGTCATTGGACCTAAGCGCAATTGCTACAGTAACAAGTGAGTTAGTGAAAAGCTAAGATGATTGAAAACGAACTTCCATTTTGATTCGGCCAGCTTTAGGTTTCTTAGTATTATGCGTAGTTACGGGATGTCTAGAAACTATATACTGAGATGAACACAAACTGTGAAATTGTAATTTGACATCGATCACTTTCATTCAATCACTTTCAGTCAACTGAAGCCACGAAAGCGCATCTATTCACAACTGTATTATCTCACATACACGTCACACATTTTAGCATAACAATTGCTGAAAAAACTCAGACTCAGTCAATTTTAAATACTTTTCCTACAAAACAACTCAAAAAACAATTCTTCAGTTTAAAGTTTTCATCGACCTGATGAAATCCCGATGATTTTTTAAATTAGGTATCTGCTTTTAAAAAAAACTTTCGATTACTTTCATTCCCACAATAATGAGGCACTCAATTGAAACCTAAATTCCACAGTTGAAATACTGTCACGTTTCATGTAATCATTTCGTATTCACTGACTACATCACCTTATTATGGATTCACAGTAGCCTGTAGAGTCTTGTTACCTTTTTTGAGTTTGGTGGCCCCGTCTGTGGTCCCACTTCTGGCTGTCTGTCTCTGACTGTGTGAGTTGAACACTTCCCCGGTGGACATGGAGAAATGGGACTTGATCTCGGCCTCTGCCTCCTTCATCTTGTCGTAGAACACCTTGAAGAACTTCTCCCCGTTTGACTCCTGCTTCAGAATGGCCAGAATCGAATTCTAAAAAAAACATCAGCTTGATCATCTCAAAAGTGATGACGGTGAGCAAGAAAAAGCTACAGTAGCTCTTAAATTATTTATCAAAACTCATGACGTTAATTATCTTCCGAAATTTACAGCGTGCAACATCATTGAAAAAAATTTATTGCCGTGGACCATGATTCAACCCTCACCTGTATCACGCCATTGCCTCCCTCCAGAAGAGCGATTCCCAGTTGGACTGTTTCTAAGAAGAGACTGCTGGAGGAACTGTTGATGACCAGATTGACCACCAGTTCCGATGCACCCGACCCATTCAATTGGCACTGGACGTCGTAGAGGGAACTGTCTGCTCTGGTGACCATCATTGAGCCAGAGTTGGCAGAAGATCCGCCGGATACAGCTGCTGCAACACAAACTTTTTTCTCTAGAACCCTGTACTAAGCTTCAGTAGAATCTCGACCATTGACAGAAAAGAAAGAAATTTAGGTCAAACAACAGCTGAAGTCTCAACAAATGATTGACCGCCCAAATAGTTTTTCAGGTTGAACCATTTTTTGCATGATATCTTCGACAGTTTCAGAAATAAATCAAATCGAAGGAATGGTCCTGATTTTTTGAGGCATTCTCAGTATTTTCTAGATTTCACTTTTCGGATGGATCTTGTATAACCATGGAAACACTCGATATTGGTTGAAACCTGTAAAAAGTATCCAGAGAAAAATCACAGAAGGTAAAAAAAACATTGACAGCAGCAAAAGATAAAACCATTAATAAATAAAAACGACACAATTACTCCGATATCAATTTGAAATTATGCTTGATGATGTGATAAAACGCAGACGATTCACTTGGAAACTCGGCACCTTGGAATCCAAAAGAACGTGCAGAGCAAATGATGATTACTCATTATTCATGTCTCTCAACACAAGGGTCATGCGTTCGAATCCCTATTCGGTCACGGTTGGAGGGGTCCCAGTGCCATCCGCCTCCTCAAGGTGGGACCGGCTGCGGCAAAATAGATGACAACCCCCCCCCCCCCCGCCCCCCACGGTTGGTCCTGAGCAGGTCGGGTGCAAATAAAAAAAATAAAAAAACTCATTATTCATACTTACACGGAGGGAATGTGGGATGTGTGTTATACTGTGCCGCAATGGTAGTGCCACTTTCAGAGTATGTATTAGAGGAAGATGCGTTGGAGGCGTTGGCTGCTGCTGCCGACACCAGAGGGTCCACTTCTCTCTCGTACCTGCGTCTCAGATTGGCCTTGTCGAAGTAGCGGAACAGCAGCGCGTCTCTCAGTTTTTCACCCTGCACACAATGAAAAACTTTCAAAAATAGTCAGTCGCATCTTCGCATAGTAAGAACAAAATAGTGGATTTTTTTTGTTTTCAAATATATTAATTGGGTACAAAAGGAAATGATGAAAAATTTTAGTCATGTACAAAATACAATTTTTAAATGAGAGTAATCTGAAAACACCTACTGAAAAATTCTATCAAAATTGATACAAACATCCTTTCTAATTTTTTCAAACAAGCTACTTGTACGACTAAAACTAAGTGCTCTACCAGGGGTGAATAGAGTTTCGAACCCCTCACTACCCAAAGGGAGTAAAATTTTAGTCAAAATTATGTTTATGACTATTTTTATCACCACAATTTTTGGCTGCCTAACCCTCAATTTTTTCTGAAGACGCATTCGGCGCCATTAAAAACTAACTTTGCGGGGGAATTCGCCAAAAAGTTGGATTTTAGAATGAGCCGACCAAAAAATATTTGTTTAGGGTTTTTCAGTTAGAATGGTTTTTTTGAAACGTCTATAACTTTTAAATGGAACATTGGATTTAACTGATTGTTTTTACATTTATTATATAACAGATTAAGATTTTTGAACACGTACATAAGAGTTATAATAACTGCTGGAAATGTCCGCCATTTTCTTGAATACAAAGATGTAACCGCTTCTCAAAATGTGTTGCTGCTTTCACTGCCTGCGCCGGAGTTATTGTTCCACAAGCGTTCTCCACAGTTTGCATAAGATTTGGGACTGTCTGGTAGTTGGCATCAAATATCATTTTACCCAAATGACCCCATAGCCAAAAATCCAATGGATTCAAGTCCGGGCTTTGGGGTGGCCAAGGAATCGCACTCCTCCTGCTTATAATCCTCGCGCCAAATTTTTGGCTATGGGGTCATTTGGGTAAAATGATATTTGATGCCAACCCCCAGACAGTCCCAAATCTTATGCAAACCGTGGAGAACGCTTGTGGAACAATAACTCTGGCGCAGGCAGTGAAAGCAGCAACAAATTTTGAGAAGCGGTTACATCTTTGTATTCAAGAAAATGGCGGACATTTCCAGCAGTTATTATAACTCTTATGTACATGTTCAAAAATCTTAGTCTGTTATATAATAAATGTAAAAAGAATCAGTTAAATCCAATGTTCCATTTAAAAGTTATAGATGTTTCAAAAAACCAATCTAACTGAAAGACCCTGTAGCACATGTTTTCATAAAACCTTACAAAATAGAGACTTTTTGATGTTTTTAAAATAAACGTTAAAAAATTGAAGTCTTTTCGAAAATTACCCTCTCGCGAAAATTCTAGATCCCGTTCCTGTACTATACTACAGTTTACAAAAACTTTAGTTACAACTATCTAAGCTAAAATATCTTCTAAGGACAAATACAAAAACAGCTAATTGTCAGACGACGATAACCATTCATCATTTATCATAAAAGGCCGGACCATTACACTCAAGCTTAAAACTCTTAAGTTCACAACAGCGATTACGATAACTATTTCGGAAGCGCAGTAACTGAGCAGCAACTATTTTCAAAGCAGAAACAATCTTTGCTTGTGCCAAACTTCGTTATAAGCGGTTTTTAGTCACGAATACGATTTCAAAAACATGAAAAGTAAATAAGCATCGAATAAGAATCTACGCAGCAGCATGTTAAGACACTAACCCTACCCAATAAGTAAAAACTGCCTTGTCAATATGGCCAATGGCTGTGCAATACATTAGTTCTCATTAGCAATTTCATCACTCGCTATTCTTTTTGCTCCGCCTGCCGCCATCAATACAATTCACTTTTCAATCAATCAAACTTTCAATTTCAGAACCCGCAAAAAACAGAGACAGAATGGCTGAAAAGAATCATCTGGCTACACAAAGAACACTATTTTGATTTGCCCTATGTTCAAATCTCTTGAGCTACATATTTCACAATCAGATACGTAAATATTCAGTCCCAGTAAAATACTGTGGCTGAAGCCGAAATTCTGCTGTCTCATTAAAAACCATTATCATTTGCCTTTTCCACTAAATGCAACTTCATGCATGTATCTTGAAGGAATTTAGGGATAATGAATTTTTTACGCAAGATTTTCCTGTATTCTAATTTGTTTGCTGCAAAAACCTGAACAAAATTGGGATCAGCGACAACATTTGAGACCCTTTTCGGCCAGGGAAATTTCTCATTTCTGCTTCAAACAAAACTCTACTCTCTACTGCTCTATAAAACTTTCTGCCGTCAGCAAATTTCCGCTAATTCCGCTGCTAGCAGAATTCTACTACGCCTGATTCACATCCCGCAAAAACGCAGACAGAAAGGCTGAATAAATCAATTGACTAGACCAAATTCACTATTTTGATTTCTTGGATGGTCTCTTGAGATAATCCATCAATCAGCTTCGTAAAATGTCATGGAACGCATGGCTTTATCATTTATCAGAATTCAAAAATAATGAAAGAAGACAGCCTGCCTGACGATAAGCTGGCAGACAAAAACTTAACAAAGAGGCGATGCTGAGCTTCGCGCCACTTTCGACGCAAAAATGAATGACTATAATTAAAAACAAATGACCACACAAATCAAAATTGAAAAAAATTACTTGCACCATTAGATACATAATCGACTTAAATCGAACTGTAATTGTCAGAATCGAACTGAATGTAATGGAAATCAAAGCATGTCGGACTTTGTCGTCTCAAGCATGGTAATACAGAATGCTCCTTCAAAGCACAGAAACCAAATGCACAGAATGCTTCGCACCACTTGCGATACAAAAATGAATGATTAAAATCAAACGCGAAACAAATGTTTAAAAAAATCGTTTTTGCCATTAACACAGAGGCGAAGCTGCACTTCTCAGACACTTGCGAGAACAAAGCAGCTCTATAAGGAGCAATAAAAAAGTAGAAATAAGCCTCGAATTGGTAAAAAAAAAAATCGGCTTCGTACGGTATTCGATCTGCGACCTGGAGATTATGAGTCTCACGCACTAACCACTCAGCCACGGACGCTTAATAACTCACAAACGCTAGCCACAAACAAAGCAGAGAACAGATGCTATGAAATTTCGAATGTTACAGATAGTGATTAAAGCAAAGTACCACTAAATGAGTGAACACTTTTAATGAAAACTTTTATTTGCGGGTAAGGCTAGAAAAAAAGGAGGGTTCGTACTAATACACTAACGGTCGCAAGCTCGCTATTGTAAACATTGCAACAAAAGCTCACAATATCCAAAAACAAAATTATCCGTACCATTGAAAAAGATGCAAAATCTTGCGGAATGATAGAAAGCCAAATCTTCAAAAAAAAGTCTTTTCAGCGGAATCAAGTTGAGAAAAATAAGCAAAGAGACAATGCTCTAAATTAGCCGAAAACTCTCAGTTTGTGAATAACAAGTTTCGACTGGAGTCAAACTCCTGAGCTTTACGGTCTCAAGCATGGATTGTACAGCAACTTGGAAGAAATCTGAACCTTAAAAAAGTCGGGTTACGGGTACTGAGCCAACAAAAATAAACTGACGGACGATAGTCAGAAAAAGCTAAGACTCTGGTTACCAAAAAGCAAAGACCCTGGTTTCCCGACCAGATTCGAACAACAAGCCTTTGCCGTCTCGAGCAGTTGTGTCACCTTTACGCCATATGCGCCGGATGGTTGATTGAATTTAAATTCAAATAATTACCAAGCGGTAACAAAGTCGAACAGACCTGAGCATAAACCCTTCAAGACAAAAACACACACGCACAAATGTTCTTTCGGTCCTCAAAGAGGCGACTAAGTCTATATATAAACAAAAAGAAAATTAAAAAAAAAAACGAAATTTTAACAAATCGAGTTGGTGAAATTACAATGTAAAAATCAAAAATCGATTCGACCGGATCTTAAATTTGGCAACTGAGCCGACAACATATAAGCATACACGAATTAGGCTGACAATTTAATTAGGCAGACACTAAAAAAACTTGAAATCATTATGAACCAAAGTATCAACAGGAGTCAAGATGAGTCCTCTGAACAAAGTTACTAACGGGAAAAAAGTATAGTACCCGATTGCAACACCCTAGTTAATCTCAAAGGTAAAAAAAACTTCTTCACAAATTCTCAACCTAATGTTTTCGATATCAAAACGACGAAATAACGATTTTAGCTTTCGATCAAAATGAATGCTAAAACAGATAAGAAACGAAACAGACAAGAAGCGAAACAGACAAGAAGCAAAACAGACAAGAAGCAAAACAGGCAAGAAGCGAAACAGACAAGAAGCGAAACAGACAAGAAGCGAAACCGACAAGAAGCGAAACAGACAAGAAGCGAAACAGACAAGAAGCGAAACAAACAAGAAGCGAAATTTACATAGCGAAATCAAGCAGACAAAAGTATGTAGAAAATCGAGAAAAAACAATTAAACAAAAACGAGACTCGAACCACGCACCTGCAGACTATGCTACATTAACTTCATAGCTGATCTTTACATCACTAATAACATCATCAATTTTACAAATCTATTATTACGCTCTGGTAAAGCGGGGAAACCAACTTGAAATGAATGACTGGCCAATGAAATTGAGCAAAAAATGAAGCATATATTTCTGCTAATGCAAAATAGTTCCAAAAAGTGAAATCGTATTATATCACCAGTAAATTCTAGATAAACCAATTGAATGAGAATATGAACGCACCATTAAATTAGAAGTCAAACCGCAAGAATACATGAAAGAGTGAATGAGCCCTGAAAAACTTCTTGAAAATCTTGTAAGAGCGTGAATGAACCTTGAAACATGAGCTTGAAAAAAGTAATGAGTAAACCCTCATAGCATGAAAAATTTATGAACGCAATGAAACAGAAAAAAAACTGACTGGCTTTTTGAAAAAAAACTTAGAATTTAGTTTCGAACTTAGAAGAAAAAATTGTATGCCCTTAAGGCTCTTTGAATGAGTTTATGATTAGTTGGAATTTCACGAACAATTTATATTGGTTCTTTTTTGATTAAATTAACCCAATTCGAGAAAACTGGATCATCAATAGATAAAATTTTTATTTCGCTAGCAAATCTGATAATTAATTTCCATTTTCAAAATGAGACTTCCATCACGTTTTTTTTGTCAATTTTACACTTTTGCTGTTTGATGAAAGAGTTTACCTTCCTTTTAACAAAGAAAATGAACTGAACACTTGAAAAGAAATCAAAAGCCAAGCCGCGAAAACCCAAAATTGAGCGTGAACAAGTTCTGCAGAGAGGCGAAGCTCTGCTTCGCAAACACTAACGAGAACACGACAAGAAGCAGCTCTATAAAGTGCAATAAGAAAAAGTTGAAATAAGCCTCGAATTAAAAAAAATTAGGATACGCCTCGAATTCGAGCCTACGACCTACTGCGACCTGGAAGTTATCAATTTCACCACTAACTACGCTCACTTAATGACAAAAACTATCCAAAAATAAAGCAGAGAACAGATTCAATGAAATTTCCAATGCTACAGTGAAATTTCCGTATAAGTGCACACTTTCAATCAACACTTTTTTTTGCGAGTTAGGTTGGAAAAAAGAAGGTTCGTAGTATTACACTACGCTGATCACAAGTGTAAAGACTTTTTCCTGATAACAAAAACAAAAAAATTGCCAAGACCTAGAGTACTCACTGCGTAAATAATTCATAAACACAATTTAAATAAGTAGACACAATCTAAACAATCTAGACACAATCTACCACCAAACACATCTTGAAAATAACACGATCAAAATAAATTAAGACTCTCTTTAATTTTCAAGTCTTAACAAGAGTGAAAGCTTTGAGCAAAAAATTTCCGACTAGAGCTCCCATTATGAAACAATTTGTGAAAAAAGCAAAAAAAAATAATTTTTATTCTGGAAAGTTAGGAAAATTTTCATTTTTTTGTTACTTTTGTTTTGACAGGAGGTGGAATGAGATTGCACGGTTAGATTACATATTTGGAAAATACGTTCATTCGTCTTTATACAATTGTTGTTAAAACAAATTTTGCCTGCTTAAAAAGATCAAAAAACACTTATGTAAAAGCAAACAACTCAATCTTTATCTTCTCGACACTGAGAATTTTGAAATTATTATTTTTTGGCAGTTCGAAAAAAGTTTGAGCGAACTTTAGATAGTTATAACACTTTGATCGCGGGAAGTTGCACCACCTGAGTTTTAGTGGACATGCCCGAATATAAATTTGCTTCCCACATATGTGACCGGGACACGACGTCATGACAAATTTAGGGTCAGCTCTGATGTAAACAGTACATGTAGAGTAAAACAGTTCAGATCAGTTCGCGCACAAACAAATTAATGGGAAGGAGAATCAAAATTCAAGGGAAAACAGATGATATATAAGTCTATAATCAGCCAGCACATAAACACAATTGCTTGAGTCTTACACGGCAGCACACGAACCAAATACCAAAACACCAAATAACGCCTCGTTTAAGTACGGCTGACTGAAGCAACGCATTTAGGGTATCGCATAAACTAAATAAAGGGTCATATGATTTTTCAACAATCCAGATCGAATTCTTCTGTTCTCTTATTATTGTTTTCTTCCACAATCGAAACCTATTTCTTCGGATCTCTTACTATATGAGATCCTTTAACAAAATGCCTTTTACTTATGTTCTATGCTGACACTATTTTGATACATAAAATGCATTATCCCAGATGCGTTGCCTCGAACACCCGACATACATTCACCTATCCTTTGAAGTTTACATGATGATTAAGTGCATGAGTATATATTAAATACAAACCCTTTTCAAGTCATCTGAATGTCGCTTCGAGAGCGCACTACAAGTTTGCCAAGCGGAAAAAGCGGCCGTAGCTACGCCAAATCCCGTGGCTCCGGCAACGCCTAGTCCGGCGCCAGTTGCCGACCGATTTGACTGAATGCGACTTTGTTTGAGCTGCTTTTGCTGCTAAGAAACAGTTGGTTTTGATTTAGCCTTATCAAAACTCCATTTTCAGGTCTGGACCATGTTATTTTTCATCAGCTGAGCAATATTAAAGACATCACTGGCAACACTGCAATTTCGATTACACACAGAGAAGAAAATTAGGCTACTCAGCAACTAAGGAGCTTGAAGTACAGAAAACTATGATAGAACAATTAAAACGACATCTTTTTTCGGGCTGATTTCATTATTGTTTCAATGCGATCCGCAGGTAAACATTTCAATGAGAGACAACACTAAAAAGACGACCAAACCAAGGCTCAAATCAAAGCGCGGGTGTGTTTCAATTATGCAATGCAATTGTTCCGAAGGATGGTGATTTCAATTAGGGGTCAAACGTTTCGCTTTTACGCTTTCAGTTCAAACTTTTCATCAATTTTATGTTGCTTTTCAATGAGGTGCGTTGTTAGTCGGACCAAAAAGTTGCTTTTGCGGTGTTAATTTTGTAAACAACAGTTAACGAAGCGCAACAGTTAGTGATAGCTGACCTTGTCGCCGTAGTCGTAATGGACAGTCATCATTTCCTTCAGAGTCTGCAGAATCTTGCGACAGAGGGCTCCTTCTTTCTTTTTCTCCCACAGCTCTTTCGTGTGGGTTATCAATCTGAAGACGCGCATTAAGATAATTTGAATTTCATGAGCCATTACTTTCATCATCGACAATTTTTGTACAACTAAACTTATTTCAGAAATTATCAAAGAAAAGAAAATGAAGGAACTAAGGAAATAATTATCAGAAGCACATTAAGTGACAGCAAATTTTGTTCTAATTATTGATATATTGACATTTCTTAGGAACAACAATACAATTCAAAACATAGATATCAGTTTTCACGATTTCCAAAAAACAAAGCACATATAAATTGAATAGTATTAAGAAAGCAATAAATAAACACCGAGGCCCAGCGGAGCATCGCACCATTTTCAATACAAGAATGAATGACTATTGTAAAAAATATGTTAAAAATTTTTCAAAATATTCAGCTATATTGAGCTGAAACGTCTGAAATGTAACCTCAACACCACCTGGGCTTAGTAAAAAACGCACAAATGAACTTTAAAAATTCGAATCAAAAGAAAAACTATTATTTCAAAACTATTGAAACCCAATTACCTGCAACATTAGTTTTTTTCAAAAGGTGTTCTAGAATGTTATCACTACCCAAACAGTTAAAAAAAGTCCGTACTGAACAAGCTGAAAAAAGGCAGACCTGTTATAGTCTGGAAAAAATCGAATTTCAAAGAAAAAGTATGTGCACTTAAAGCTTTTCTCATTTCAAGAACAATTTCAGACAAACATTTTTTCGATAACAGTAACCCACCAATTTGAGAAAATTGAATGATTAGATAACTTTTTTATTTCACTGGAAATCTAAAAACTGAAATCTACTTTCGAAAAGAAGTCATTCACTTTTTCGTGACCTTTACACTTTTGCAGTTCGATAGTAAAGTTAGCCTGCTTTTAACAACGGAAATGAATTGAACGTGAAAGCTAATTGAACGTGAAACCTGAATATCAAATTTGAAGGAGAACAAATCGAATTTTTCCCTGAAAAAAAAACACGGAAAAAAATCACGTTCCTAGATAATTGTATTCACTACATTCATTCACATTTAATTAAAACAGTTAACTTAATGTGCGAATTCTGAAACTAAAGATTTTAAGTACCCGCTTGCAAAACTTATTGAACAACAAATACCGATTTTTTATCAACCATTTTTCAGCCACAGACCACTAACACTCAGCAAACACTGGCCACATATAAAGCAAAGAAGAAATGCTCTGAAATGTTCAAAGCTACAGATCGTCATTATAGAAAAAGTGCCACCAAATGAGCACTTTTATTTGCGAGTTAGGTTGGAAAAAAAAGGCTGGAGTCAATATAATACACTACGCTGCCTAGTGTAAATATTGCACCAAATCAAGTTACATCAAACAAACGTAGCAAATAGACAGTTGGAAAACTGAAAAAGAGTATTTGAACGCAAGTAAACAGAAAAAATCCTAACTTCTTTCTCAAAAAAAAACTTTGGAAATTGAACTTCTAGAACAATTTATGATCGGCGCTTTTTGATTAAATTAACCTAATTTGAGAAAACTGGATCAATAAATCAAATTTATAATTCGCTGGTAAATTTGAAAAATGAATTCCAATTTCAAAACTAGAAGTCGATCACGTTTTTCGTGACCTTTACACTTTTGCAATTCGATAGTGGAGTTTACCTTCCTTTTAACAAAGGAAAGGAACTGAACTTTAAAAGTAATCAAAAGTCAAACCGCAAAATTAAATAAATTTAAAGCTGAATCAATTTAAAGACTACGTTCATCGATTCTAACAAGATCTTGATTTCTTGATACATAAACACATTCGAAAAAAAATATATAGCCAACATTCAGATTTTTCTGAAATTTTTTTGTCACTATGTCCATTTACAGCTCAAAATCACATCAGCAAGTCATAAATCAAGTATTAACCAAATTTGAGACAGAAAGTGAGACGGAAATAAATAAGGCACAAAAGAAGACGAATGAATATAATTTTTGGGAACCACGCAAGTGCAGCAATGTCAACTACCGAATAGAAAATGATACGGAAATAACTATGATGAAAAAAGAGTTGAATGAATAATTTATTTTGAAAACTGACTATCGATTTGAGAAAAACAGTCGGAAATCTAACTACAGAAATTATACAAGCCTTTCTCATTTTCCGAGCAGCCACTAAGCCGACAATACGTCGGTAGACACCCATTGAGCCGTAAACAAATGCCATAAGAAATTGCTGTCAAAAAAATGTTGAGCAATAAGTTTTAAAACTTTCATCTCATAGAACACAGCCGACCTGATTTTCAACGATAAGACTGCTTTACGCTTCAAACAATACGAATTGAGGTGTCTAAGTCAATAGCCGAAATGATTCAGGGCGATTAAAAATTTTAAGCAAAAAAAACAAAGAAAATATCATATATAGTAATTCGGGGCTGAAAAATTGAAAAACTAAGCAATAAATCAACAAAACTTGTAACAAAAGAATTTGTGTTAAAATCTGTGATATGGCAACTAAGGCGAAAAAACATAAGCAGAAAAACCAACATTCAATTTTTCGCGCAGAAAATTCAGTAGTTTCATGCATACTTAAACAAAACAAGGCTCAATCGCGACACCAATCCCCGACCACAGGATGCACAGGCACCCGATACAATTGTTACAAATTCTGCAAGTGTAACAAAATCTACCTTTTGATGAAGTCTCCTCTCTCGCACATGGCACGTGCCGTTGACATCTGGGGGAAGAGTAGTTCTGGTCTGTGGAGCACATCCACCAGCACACTCAGCTCAGCCGCAGCTAGCGGCTTCAGATGACGCTCCAGCAAAATCACTACCTCCTAAGGCATCAAAAAATTAGTACGTAGTATTCTTTCACCACTTTCCACAAGAGAAGTTTCCGTTATCTATATTTCTATGAATTTATAGAGCCACCGAATACTTCATCAACTCAAGAATCACAAGCGGACATACCTGTAGCCCGTCAATGATGTTCTTGTAATTGAGTGACCTCTGTGCAGCATGTGATGCGTCTCGGATAACAGAACACTTCGCCGACAGGTGGTTGCCATGGTGATGATTAGCCGCACTCCTGGCTGTCACCAGGCTCTTCAGACTAGTGTTGCTGAACAACATGTCGAAACTGGAGTCCAGGTCAACCGGAATGGCGATCCCTCGATTCTTAGCCAACACATACAAACTCCTAGAATATTATGATGACCAATTAACATAAACTGTAGTACAATTTGAGAACTGCTCCTGAAAATAGCAACGTATCTTAAACAGCAAAATAAATTGTTAATCATTTGTTATTCATATCTTACATCGTAATATGACGCCTTTCACCATAATTGCATCTGAAACTTAAATCGAAATGGAAAATTTGCAATGTGTAGGGATCGAACCTGATGCACTCCTCGACGTTGCGCCTCTGCTCGATGCAAGTGAATGTGATTTGGGAGAAGATGCTGAAAGCGTTCTGAAGGAGTCTTGCGAATGTGGACTGTCTAGTCTGCATGACTGTTTGTTCCAAGTATGGCGAGTTAAAGAAAGCTACTATCACTTGCATGACCGTTGTGCAGATGTATTCCTCCAGCTGCTTGTCTTTTGGGTATTGAGAACAGATCTAAGCAGAACTTAAATTTAAAAAGCAAATGACAATTTAGCAGCGAATTAATCCGAATGATACTGCTAAATTAAAGATCTTCAGAGGAAGAATTGTATTGGTAGGCTCGAATTAAAAGTTTGAGATTATATTTACTGAAGAAAAATGGCTAGAACAAAATGTTACAACTGTGATCGTCAATACCGTGAAGTTTTCACACAGATGTTTAACCGCCTCAAAATAACCCTAATTTCGATTTCGGTAAAGGCCTCAAATAACCCGATAAATTCGATTACTGTATTAAAATTTTCGATCAATCAAGTATTACTATTTCATACTCAAAGATCATGAATTAAAAACAATACGTCGTCGTTCGTCGTATGTGGATTGAACTTAGCTGACCTTTGCCATGTCGGCGATAAAGCTCTCGAATATCTTCCAGATGGACTGCTGAGTATATATGTCTTTGTTCTCCACCTCTGTGTCGATGTAGCAGTGGTGCAGAAACTTCACGTATGCATTTTTCATCTACTCATTCAAAATAGGCGATTCATTGAAATCAATGTCAGGAAAAATTTATGCCTTTTTTGTGATTAGCATCATAACTCGCAAAAAAACTGCCTGACCTTACATCTGCAGAATTTGCCCATAAACACTAGAATGAAAAGGAACTTATATCGAACCTCCTTGAAAATTTGCTTATTTCCTACTTCTATTGTGATTATTACATTTATTTTGACAATTATTAGCGACTTAAGAGTAGACATACCCCCTCCATCGGCCATGTTATAATATGACAGAAATTTATTATTGATTTTAGTAACTTTTACATGGTTTCTTTTTGAGAAACAAATTATTTCTTTCTTTCTATCAAACGACAAAAAGTCTGTTGAAGGTTTTGTTGATTCTTTTCTTATCTTGGAGTTCGGATTTGAAAATGAAAAGCTCGGTATCATAAATTTCATAGATTACTCTTACTTTGAAAAGGCAAACATCGGTATCAAAAATTTCATAGTTCACGCCCATTTACCAATGCAATGGAAGACGGATGAGTGAGCATTCTCTGGATATCATCCAGAGTAATATACGCTGTACACTTGATCTCCGTGTGAAGATTTTTCCCTTTGGCACACATTGCCAGCAAATTCACCAGTTCAATATGGTACAAAAGAGGACTATTGTCCGCCTTAACTGCAACCACTTCAGGGGAGACATCCCCGCCGTGATCCAAATTGGAGAGGGTGTCTACATTAGGGTTGGCCTGACGCACTTTCGTGTACATTTCCATTAACTTCACCAGTTCCTCAAAAGCCGTCTTATCCGGGTAGAACATCAATACTTCTTCGCCCACATTTGAGAGCTAGAAAAAAAACAGAACACCAATCTTAAATTTCAGCAAGTACGTTTGTTTTTTTTTTCAAAAAAACATCACACTAGACTTAACAAAATTGAAACTAAATTGTGGAAAATTTATTTACATTGATGAGGGTTCTGACACCGCTAATTAGCGATTAATAGCAAACTTGGATAGCTTGGATTTAGTGACGATAATTAGGCGGAGAGAACACAATTTTTTTGCTGATTGTAATCCAGGAACGGGTTGCGAAAAAAAAATACCTCATTTCTCTGCAACTTAATTTTCGACGAAAAAGTTTATATTAAGTCTGTTTGATTTTAATGGCTGAAAATACAATTTGGCTGAATAACAGGTGTTTTCAACTACTTTTAATTTTTTTTCTTCAATCAAGCTCTTAGAAAAATACCCGCAATTGTTTTTCATTCAACGGAGTTCAACTTAGCAGTTCATTGAATAGCGATGTCAGAAGCCTGGTGTTTATTTCTATTCGATATTTGGCTACTGTTCTACCTAGCTGGCGGGTTCAAATTTGAACTGCCACTTACGTCTACTAAAGTTTGCGATGTGAATATAATAACTAAATGCTCAAAAAATAATATTAAAATGCAAAGCAAATCGAAAGCATATATTGTACCATTGAAACCTGCATAAGCTCATATTGAAAAAATCGGTGACAACTCGAATAAAATCGAGCCACAGAATAACCTGCATTACCTAAATTGCAGCTAGCTGAAAAATACCAGTCTCATAACATTGAAATGCATTAGATTGGACTTTTGAAGATAGTTTCAACATTGAAGTCGTTTCCAACTGAAAACGGTGACTTATTTTTTCCTAGAAGCTCATTCAGTGAACTTAAGACTCATTCTAAAACAAAGCTGTAGCCGACTTAACGAGTAAAAAGAAGTTTTGCCAAAACACGCTTGAAAATCTAGTAAACTATTGAATAACCACCGTTCAAACTTCAATCCCAAGCAAGCAAAGCAAAACTGTACTCCTCGAAGACGAAAAAATCTGTTGAATACTTTTCAATACTTCCCAAGGACATAACAGTTATCTTTGTTTCGATTGAAGTCTTATCTTAGATTTTAAAAGTCAAAAAGTGTCCAAAAAACGGTCAATAGATCGAGACATTGACTTGCTGTAATCAATAATTTTCTTTCTGCAAAAAGAAGGTCATTGTCGCTTCAGCAAAAAAGATTCCCAAAACCGATTTTCTCGACTGCACATTTAACCCAAGCATTGGCACGCTAGTTCTCGAGTAAAAGTCAAAATGTTTCCAAAACGGTCAAACTTTCAAAACTTTGGCTTTTTGAAAGCTATAACAATTTTCTTAAATAATTTAGATAAACCAAAATAATTGCAAAAGAGAAAAAAATTTCCAGTGTCTCAAAAATATTTGAAAAAACCCAATCCCATACATTTTCATAATGCGTGTTTTTATTAAACAGAATAATAGGCAAACATGCCATGCCAGACATTTTAATTTTAAATTAGCAACGAACAAAACATACGCAGCAGAATCAAATCCGACAAACGTTGAGCAGACACCAGTTGAGCCAAAAAAATGAGTTTAAAAATTTTTCAAGTTCCACATGAAACTACAATAAACAACACGTGCAATTACCATAAAACTTGCTTACACCACAAGAGAAATCCTTGATGTGGCAACTAAGCTGACAAAACTTAAGCAGATAAGCGAAAGTCCGACGAATCAATTTTTACCGAATCCCTTTTTACCAAAACTTTTTTCAATTACACACTGAAAACAAACGAGGTTCGGCCAGGATTTGAACACTGGGCCCTAGGGTAAAGGCAACGGCATTACATCTAAGCCAAGTGCGAAGGAACCTGCAAGTTGGTTGATTCAATGTCTAATTCCCTATTACAAGACACTTTCTTTCGCAAGTGTAATGAATGATTGATCACAAGGTAAATTTGTATATTACTCAGGGATATTTTAAAATTAACAATTTTTGAAACTAATGGTTCAACTTAGAATGAACTTTAAAAAACAGGGTAGCAGGTTGTTGTGCAAGTAGCAAAGAATTTCCCGGCCACATTTTTTTCTTTTTGCATTTGGGGGTAGAGGGTAAAGCCGTGAGAATTAAGGCTTCAAAAAGCTTACTCCATCCTCTAAAAGATATTCGATAAGTTTTTATTGACAATTTTTTGTGAATTCCGATCATCTCCAATAGGGCTTTAACGTGACAACACTACGTGAGACAACGCTTTCTTTAAGTGTCTAAGCTTGGGCAAAAAATAGACTGCAGGCCATCGTACCTTCCCGTAATTTTCAGTTGTGGTCTCAATTACAAATAAGCCCGCTAAAAACCAAATTTGAGGAAGTACAAATTTTTCTCAAAAAAGAAAACAGCAAAAAAACACAGCCAACAGATGGTTGGAAAAATGCAGAATTCAAGGAAACCAAAAAAACTGTTGATTGACTTTCGAAGGAAAAATTTTTGTTTAACCTTTTTGAATTTCAAGAATAAATTATCAGTGGTATCTTTTTCTTAAAACTATCGTATCAAACTGGATCAATAAGGTAATTTTTCTTCCGCTTGAAATTGAGAAATTTAAATTCCATTTTCGAAACTAGAAGTCATTCACGTTTTTCACCTTTACACTTTTGCTGATCGATAGTGGAGTTTGCCTTCCTTTTAACAAAAGAAATCAACAGAAATTAAATGAAATCAAAAGTCAAACAACAGCAAAAAACATTATTTTTTCCTGATAAAAAAACAATAAAAACATGACGACATTTATAAAAGATCGATATCGATTCTTTAAAATATTACATTATAACCAGACACCCGATTCAACCTTGGGCAGTCGAAATTAGGCAAATGGAAGCCTCGCAGAAACGTCTTTGGACAAAAAAATTCATAATCAATCTTCATTTTCAAATCAAATTGTTACAAATTTGATCTCCTGAACCTAAACCTTCGTTTTAAACGCCTAATTAGCAAGAAGAAAACAGCTATTGTGTTAAAATAGACCACAAACTGTAGAAAAATATTGAATTTGCAATAATTTTGATGTTCAAGATTTTAAAAATTCAAAACATCCATCACTTAAGAATTAAAAAAACTAATGTTAATTATCCATAGATAAAAAATGAAACATTTAGCTCATTAAAGTCATAAAAACTTCAACGGTAACTATATCCACGAGTAATTGCAATCCATTAAAGATTTTCAGTTCCTCGAAAAACATAATACCCTGATCAGAGCTGAAATGGTTTTGATCAGAGTCTAATAGAGAACTAATATTTTAATGTTACAGTACTGCAGAAGTACTGATTTCCTGTGTGATCGACCCGGGCTTTCTATACTGTATTTTTGATACTATTCGGTTATTCAATATCTGACCGAAAAAATCAGACGCCAAAAAAGGCCAGACACGCCAATGGGACAAGCGCTGAACAGGCTTTCGATTGCTTTGAAAGGTAAACAATACTTATAAACAAAAAAAATAATCTAAATCGAAGCTCAATTCCTCAATTAACTCAGTCGTTTTTAACTCAAAACGAAACCAAAAAGACACTGCAACTGGTGATAATGAAGATGGTCGACATCTGAGTTACGTGTAAGTTTTAAGCTTTGCGGATGACAGTATTAGCTAGACGTACACATAGGACAAACTTCCCTTATCCACAAATGAATAACCAGACAACAAAGTTAAACGTGGCTGAAAATTTTCACATTCTAACTCACGTTTCGATGGTACGTCGAATGTAGCTGAAGAAAAGTTCTTTCAAATTTTGAAAAATTAATTGGGCTCTTTATTTGCACCCCCACCTCACATTAGCATCAATTTTATGGTGTAGCGAGGGGTTTTACAAGGTTAAACAAAGACCAAATATATTTGTCATAGCCTAATTAGTTCGCATGCCAATGTTCGTAACATTCGGATAACGTGAACAAAATTTCACTAGTAAAATTTTGCAGGTGGGGGAGGGGGAAGGAAAAAGAGTCATTAATTAGTATCATTAAACAATTTTGATATCATTAATAATGCTCCCCTTCGAAATGTTGGGGAGGGTTACTACTATGTTAAAATTGTCTTTAACCAAGTTTATCCATTCAATTCTTCTTATTCTACGAGGCTTGATTCCTTATGAAACCCGCATTATGGAACCCGCATTATAGAACCCGCGTTATAGAGGGATTATAAACTTAGTTCAGCTGTTGTTCAGTCAGCCAATTAATTCTCTAGGACTCTAGGAAGGGGAGTTAGAAAAAAGCGAACAACTGGATTACCAGCTCTTAAGAACTGGGCCCACTTGCTCGCTAATTAAATTAACAGTCATTAATTCGCATCCGCCCGCTGTCAGTTGTATACCCTTGTAAGTATAAGCTTGCATCATATCTCTGGTTCTCATGTTAAAGAATAAAAATCTTAAATTAAAAAAAAAGAGTGATTGCACTATTTAAGTCTCGTTTTTTTTTCGCTTTAAATTTGCCTCTTGACCTAAATTAATTATTGAACCTTTTGATCTGATGTCATATGATGTGATTCCTTTACGGGGCAACCTTCAACAAGCCTCTCGTTGGCTTTCTGGTTGTCCTATCATGAGTTATCTTTGAATTTTTGCATATTGTGTTATGATAATTTGATTACTCATGATGAATATTTAAATAAATAAATAAACTCTGTTTATATTCCAGCAAACAAGGGCCAACTTTTTTGTTCTTATCAATTTTGTTCCTATCAAAAACATCAATTAGCTGGGCTGCTAAACCCCGCAAGTTTTGAAAACTTATATTAAGCTTCAGCAAAATCATCGAGGAGACTCGTAATTTTGAAATCAATCTTTCAAAAAGACTGAAAATTGTTTCAACTTATCTCTGTATGTGATTATGTTAGCCTAAGTTATTATCAGGTCACTTACATTAGAATTTATGTGTTTAGAGATATTTATAGTAAATTGCGTGGATTTATTTCCCTTGTATTTCATCTCTCACCTCTACCATTACACTTTGTTGCACTTTGCGCAGTGACCTGCCATCGGAGTGTACAAATGTTAGGAGCAGCTGCAGATACTGCACGTATCTTCCGTGCGATTCTATACAGTGCACAAAGTGCTGAATGATTCTGTCTTCCACATTCTCACACAATTGTCTGTTTTCCAGAAAAATATGTCGCACTGTCTCTGCCTCCAGCAGCTGAAACATTTTCTCTTCATTTCATGTCCAAAAAATGATATCTGGCAACATGAAAGCAAGGAGTTCCCAAAATATCAAATGGATCTTTTGTTCCATTTGATATTTGTACGGTTGATTCCAAACTTCCTTACCACTTACGCCCAAATGTCAAACTTTCCCATTTTAGCCTCCCCCAGCTTAGTAGCAAAAAAAACGATAGCCCCTCCTTTAGTCAATTTTTAATTGGCTTTAAAACTATCGTTGTGCATTTATTTAAAAGTGCATTAATACAAAAAGGCAGCCATATTTTGTTACTACTGAACTAAGCGCTGCGCAGAGTTGCAAGTTATGTATAAATAAATAAAGAGGTACATTCTATTTCATAGTTTATATATGTATTCTCTATCTGATTTATTACCTGGAAAGCTATGATTTGCCAGTGGGGAGCTATAATGGGAAAGAACCCACAATGCCAAAATTACGTTTACTATAAGATCCCACTTATATTTTTGGATACTCTCCGCTTTCAATCTGCCATAACCTTACGCTACGACATGCAACTACCAGTATGCGCATGTTTTTGGGCTCTTTTACTAAAAAAAAGAGTGGGTTATTTCGAAGATGCATTAAGAATTCTAATAAGCAAGTCTGACTTTTTAAGCTGACCAGGCAGCAATTATTCCTGAATTCAAATTCGACTCAATTAGATTTTTTTTACTGACAGTCTTCTCAAATTCTAATTATGGGTACGGGAATTTGCATAGGATTAGCCTTTCTAATTAAGTAAATTGAATCGCTTTTTAAATTCAGCGAGATTTCTCGTTGAAATGAATGACAGTGTTAATAATTGAGTGTTAATTATTGTGATGAACTAGTTTCAAAATTAACATGTCACATACCTTCCTCACCTGTTATATTCAAACGTGAATGACTGAGTTGTATCAAAATATTCATAGAGTACCAATAAGACTAAGAACATAGTCAACATACAGCTAAAAGTGTCAATGAACTTGATGCGAAGCAAAAAACAACTTTCGAAACTAAACGAAATAAGTATATTACTTAACGTTCTTTCAAGGATCATTAATAATTGACATTTTGGATGAAAAACCCCAGTTTGAGAAATTTTACTCCGCTGCGAAATCAGATTAAAAACCACTTTAAAAACTAATTTTTTGCGCCATTTGCATTTTCGTTATTGACAAGCGTAATTTGCCTTTAAAAAACCCAAAAAGCAAACAACGAGAAATCACAATTGAGCTTGAACATCTTTAATGAACATTTTTTCGAAAAAAACAATAAAATCATCACGAACTAGATAAGTGCCTTCACTCTGCTTATTGACACAGAGTAATACAAAAACAAAGTCAACTGAAAGTTGGAAAAGAGTAATAAACGCAAGTAAACAAAAAAACACTGACTTTGTTCAAAGAATCTAACTTTCGAATTTCAAAGAAAAAAATAGATGCCCAATTAGCTCTATGAATTTCAAAAACAAACTTTTGACTAGCGCGTTTTACATAACATTAACCCAACTTCAGAGAGCTGCATCAATAGGTAATTTTTCTTTCCGCTGGGAAATCTGAAAAATAAAAAGCCATTTTCGAAACTAGAAATCGTTCACGTTTTTTTTTCGAGCTACTTCCATGTTGGTATTTGGAGAATGCTACTTACGTAACTTACAGATGAATTTCAATTGAATTCAAAAGAAGCATATATACCTAACTGCATTCATAAATGCATTAATATATATGAAAGCACATTTGTAGTTATAAGAGCATTTTAAGACTTTCTTAAAAAAACCAAAACCTAAATAAGAGTCTGAACTACCTTCATTACTCTTAACAAAAGAACATAAAAACTAAATTTTAGTGGAGCAGAATAGGCAACTCTTGCGGGTGTCAGAAAATTGACGAAAAAATTTTCTAGCAGTTGAAATCAGCTTCCTTTTTGATCGATCGATTTCCTATTGCATTTTGACAATTTTTAATCTTGAAGAAAGCTCTAACTTAATTGCATTGTATTCGATTTAGAGCTTTCTTTCAAAAAAGATACAAAAAAGACTCTAAATTCAACCTTACGGTCCATTTTGAGAACTACAGTCGCAAGTTGCGGGTATAATGCTATAAAAATTTTAGAATCTGAAAATTTGACTGTCCAAATACATTTTGCTCAAAAATAAAATTGAAGCTTACATTCTTTTCTTCATATTTTTTCAGCAGCTAAATCTCAAGTTACACCTTTTAAGAATCGATAAAGATTCTGAATACCGGTGCCCTTTTTTCCCTTTCCGTTGAAAAATTGTTCCTTTATTGGCACAACCTAGCCACTTAACTGCTTCAAAAAATTGAAACTACCTACCAAAAAAAACGATACAGCAAAAGTAAAAAGAGCACGAATAAGTTTTGAGACTTTGATTTAAGATAATCTGCATTACTAAAAAAAACAGAAAAAACATATTTAGATAACATTAAATTAGAGACGATTTAATGAAAAACGAATTTTTGAAGAAAAAACCCATCACCTTACAATTCTTTTAGTTTCAAGCATCTTTTGCAATTTATACACTTTTTTCGTGCAACTAATCGAATTCGGGAAAATTGGGTCCATAAGTAATTTTTTTTCTGCTGGGAATTCTGTAAGCTAAAGTCTGTGTTAAACTTAAAAACATTCACACGTTTTTTTTGCAAACTCAAAAAGAAGTCAAAAGAACAACAAACCGCAAAAAAAAATTGAGCTTGAACAACTATGAATTTTCCGAACAAAAAACCGCACAACCCAAAAAAGTGATAAATCAATTAAATCATTCACTCTTAAAATGTTTTTCATCGTTGATATAACTACTAAAAATGACCCTTGAACGATTTTTGCGAAACCGCAGAAGATAATTTAAAACACAGAGGCGAAGCTGCGGTTCGCAAGCTTCTACGAAAAAACCATAAAGAAGCAGTTCTATGAAAGCCACACAGAGGCAAAGCTGCGCTTCGCAAACACAAGCGAGAACACGACAAAAAAGCAGCTATACAAAAAGAGAATGTACAAAAAAGCCTCAATTAAAAAAAAATCGGCTACGTCTCGGATTCATACCTACGACCTACTGAGACCTAGAAAATATGAGTCTCACACACTAACCTCTCACACACTAACCACTAAGCCAAAAACGCTTAATTTTGACAAACACTAGCCACAAAAAAAAGCAGAAAACAGGTGCTATGCGATTTCCAATGCTACGGTAAAATTTCCATACAAGTGAATACTTTCAATGAACGGTTTTATTTGCAAATTAGGTAAGAAAAAAAGGGTTCGTACTAATCCACCAAAACTCGCCAGCGTGAATAATAAAAATCGAAATAAGCATCGCGCTAGCATAACTTTTGCTATGCGTCGGATTCAAACCAGCGACCTCAAGTTTTGGAGTTTCAACTCCTTCTCAGCCACGGACACTTAACGCTCTTAAACTTTAGCCACAATTACAGCAGCCAACAGATTCTATGAAAATTCGAAAGGCCCCCAAATGAGCACTTTCCTTGGCGAGTTTGACTAGAAAAAAAAGTGTTGCTAGCGTAAACACTGACCATAGTCATCATACAGCTCAAAATTATCAATGGACAAAGAAACGAAAAAATGGAAAAAAATTTCAATTTTTGAGTTTCATGGAAGAAAATAAATCACTGCGACTGACTTTTTTCGTCAAAATCAAACAAAATTAAGGTGACTAGTTATGTGGGCAAATTTTTATCCCACAAGGAATTATAAATTACCCACCTTTTTCGGAGTTAAAATTCAGGCGCCATTTCCATTTCTATAATAATGAGCGTAACCTTGCCGAAACTTGGAAAATAAATTGTACATCGAATTTCAAAAAAAACATCACAAAAATCCTTGAAAAAAGGCCACCTAACTAAGTGAAAATTCACATCGTTCATTAACACTTGAAAATTTGATGAACGGTCAATTGGAAGCTGCAGTAGATGACTAACAGTAAAAATCGGAATGTTGGCAACATCGACAACCCTCAGCGCCATTATCCATTCGAGCATCGTTCTTTTTCAGTTACAATCTTTTGATACTTTTCCATGTAGCAATACTTAGTAACTCAATTACTGGTGACAAAATAAGCGTTTGCTTCAGCTCGACTTCTGATTTGCTGGGCCAAATTGATTTTGCCAACAAACTCGAATATTCTTGAATATTCTAGAATATCCTATGACATGATGAAGTGTGCATGAGAAGCAAAAGGGAAAGGACAACAGAACAGAGGTGGTAGTTGATAATAAAAAGGAAGGAGGCAGTAAATAGAAAACAGTACAAGACCGGGCAGCATAGGATTCAGTGTGCACATACCCATGTTAGGTGAGGACCAAACCAGACGTCGCTTTCGGCCAATTGCACTTTTTAGGACAACGGCACTCAAATCATTAAACTTAGAGATCATCATCATCATCATATACTCAAAATTTTAAATATCAGTCCATTGCTTTGCCGTATTTGAATTATGGTATCTTTGATTTTAGTGCAATCAGTAAGTCAGTTGTCCTAAGTTGAGCTTGGCCGAAAGAGGGTAAGTATAGGAAAGATAAATTACTCACTGAAATTAGTGTGACTCCTCGCTGCAAACGTTCACCTCGATAAAAATCACTCGAGAGCCGTATCGCTTTACTCTTATCAATTAAATAGGAAATAACTAGAAGGTTCTGGATAGTTCTCGAGTTAATTTCTATGCAAAATTGAGCGTTGAAAACCTCCAAAAAACTTGTTTTTAGAAAATGCATTCACTGAAATCCCTTTCATTTTTTGAATTACATGTGCAGTGCAGTTTGATATTTTTAATGTAGGAAATGTTCGAGTAAGATTGATACGAAACGGAGTAGAGCAAGAGGAACTCTTTCTGTGCACAAAAGTGCATCGTAATATTAACAAGACTACTCGTGTCAGGAAAAAGCACCGAAAACTCCTACAGTTTTTTCCAGTGTATGAAGCAGTTTTCGGCAGTAAAATTTTTTTGGTAATATAGAAAAAATCTGAAATCAATCAGAATGCCAATTTTTTAACCAACCCCCCCTCTTGAAAACTGGAAATGCAGTGCGCATTTTTTTATTACAAACTGACGATATTCAAACTTCTACAACTTTTGCTACATTTGTAGCTCACATTTTTTTTCTATTTCTGAGCTTAGGGTATCGATATACTTTTGTTGAAGGATATTTTTCAAAAATTTTGATTTAGCGTCGAACCTTCTTTGGAAACAAAAGCCAAACTGAGCACAAAGATTCTATACCTTTCTTCGTAAAATTTCTTTAAGATCATGAAAAACAGTTTAAGAGTTCTCAATTTTCTTCGGATGCCTATTACTGCCAATGGGGAAACTATGGAAGGTTTGCAAAGAAAATAGGCCGGCAATATCTTGCAGTACATACATGCTGACTTGTGACTAGTAAAAAAAATAACTGAAACATGGCCCAGTGTTTGACTCCGATGCAAAATAAACTAAAATACATGAAAGTTTATATCAAGTAGTAAAAATTTGGAACACACAGGTTTCATTAAAAAGAACAAAAAGCCAATTTTGATAAGATTTTGCTGCATTTTCAATTTTCAGACAACCTAAAGACTTTAAATGCTGTTTGAAAATCTAGCTTTTGCAAGCATTTTTCAAATACGACTTTCGCTCATTTCAATCAATACTGTATGTTCCAACTTTTGCAACTCTCTAGAGCTTGAAAATTATGATGATTAACTCGATCAGTTATTACTAACCCCTGATGTTAGAAACAGGTCCAAATTGTGATGAAGCAACATTTGATTGGATGCGTTTCCAAAACAAAACGACTGCAGAAATTTATGCGCATAGTACATAAGCTCAACCATCTTCTTGTCATTATATCGGTCATACGTAATCTTCAGTAGTTCCATAACCGCGTCATGGGCCTTCAGATTCTTCAGCAATCTTTGCTCGTGCTTTTTTGCCACTTTCTTTCCATGTTTATCTTTCTCTACGCATAGATTAGACAGACCAATCAGGATGAACTTAATTTCTTCGTACTTTTGTCGGTTTTCCGAAGTTAGAGCCGAGTCCACAGGTGCGATTTCGACTTCTTTTATTGCATCTTCAATACAATTTGGCTTCTTAGAAGGAAGTTTGCTAGCTTTTCTCGACTTCTTTTTTTCTTTTGATGAGGATCCTGATGCTGATTTTGATCCACCGCTGTCATCATCTTTCGCTTTATACACCCACAGCTCACTTTTCTCAACGTGCGATCGCAGTCTGTCCAAGTTTTCACGAATCATGTTGAAATTGTTCACGTCTTCCTTCGAAATCAGAAGCTGCACTTGTTTGAACGAAGTCAACACTTCCTGTCGCTGCGTGAAATGTCGAAATATCAGCTGAAGAGCTCCGGACACCAGAGGCAAGTAGGAGTTCATAGTGAGAAACAGGAGGACTCTGAGGAACACTTTGCCGTGCTGTCCGTCCAGATCCAAGTCCGGATACTCCCAGTTGTTTTGAGCTGTGCAGGGAGTGGCGGCGGTTGTTGGACTGCCACCTGTACCACCAACTAAGATGTTGGACCCAAATACGCCTTCTGCACGAGTTATCACATTTTCTAAAAATTTAACAAATCCATATTAATCTTATAAATCATGCAGTAAGGAAATACGAAATTGAGCTAGCATAACAACAAAAAAATCTCATGATCTATCATGAGATGGTTCTCCATTTTAGAGTCCAGTAATTATTTTGGACATTTTGTCCCAAAAAATAAAGTCTAGGAAGAAATCATGGTAGTAAAACCTTCGAACAATAGTTCATAATTTAAAAAAAGAACGATTAGTTGAAAAGGTTTTTTCGAGGAATCAGGATGACAGCATTTGGATATGTGTTCATATCAATATTTCCAATAGCAAAAACCAACTTAGCCTCGAAGATGGTAACTGCGAAATAGGGACTCACTAGAGAATTGAGAGAAATGTTCGGTGCTTCCCAATTCCTGCTCGTTGCCTACTCCGTCAACAAAGTTTTCGAACTTCTTCGCCAGGTGGGTTATATCTTCATTGGAAGACGAGAACTCACACTTGAAGATAGACAGCAGACACGATATTCTGTAGTCCAGTCTCACATTCAATATGAACTAAACAAAAAGTAGAGACTAAATTAGGGATAAATCCGGAAAGAACATTGAAGTCCAACATTTCATGGCGGCGTGCGCAGTATTTTATTGACTAGGAGGGGGGAGGGGATTTAATCATTTTCAAACCGTTTTTTAGGTCAGCTATCAACCCCAGATTGAGGCAAAATGTTCCGCACAGCAGTCAATTTTTTTGAAATGCGTTTTTTAGTGTTTTTTGAAGGTTTTAAAAAAATCTAGCTTTTTGGCGCACTTCAAAAAACGCTAAAAAATAGGATTTGTACAAAAAAATTGGCTGCGATGGAGCACTTTTTGCCTTAAATTGGTAATTCCGGGGTTCCAGCTGCATTTTGACCTAAGAAAAAATTAGCAAACAAAACTGATGCGGCAGCGGTGGTCCTTTTGGGCACACTATAGATTTAATCATTTTCAAACAATTTTAAGATTGAGCAAAATGTTGTTCGCCACAGAGGCGAAGCGGAGATCCGTATCACTTACAAAACAACACATCCATAAAACACAGAGGCGAAGCTGAGCTTCGCACCACGTGCGATACAAAACAAGAAAGCCCCTAAAGATGAAAAACCGAAAATGTCGAAAAAACTATATCTATCAAAACGAATAAGGCTAGTTTAGATACAAAAACTTGCCAAGACAATAGAATGTGAAAACAAAATCGAAAGAAAATTTGCCAAGCTGTAACAAAGTCGAAAACATCTTAGCAGAAACCCTTTAAGCCGAAAAAAAAACAACAAGACTTGTGACTAATAAGTTATGAAGTCCCTCTCACCATAAAACGCATACAAAACACGCACATAAAAAGTTTTTTAGCTCGTCGAAAGACGCAATATGAGGGTATAAAGCCGGTTTAAAACAGGCCGAAACCTTTCAAGATAAAAAAGGGGCCGTAAAACAACCAGATAGAACTTGTCATGAAAAACTATGATTTTTAATACGATTTTAGAAATTTGTGCGATCCAGAGGGGAACATAACAAAAAATTTCAATTGAAACTACTAAAAAAAGGCTACTAAGCCGATAAATATATAAAATTTACCGTAAATAATTGGTCCAGTCAGGTTCGAAACCATGATATTTTCCGTTCCAGGCGCTTTCGTCAACTCCAGACCAAGTACGCCGGAACTTTCTGAGGTCTACTTGAATTTCATTCAAACCAAACATTTGAATATTAAAAAATAGCCAACAGACACTTGGAAAAGACTCAATGAACGCAATTGAACAAAAAAAGGACTTGTTTTTCGAATTTCAAAGAAAAAAACGATGCCCCTAAAACTCTTTGAATTTCTGGGTCAATTGATGACTGGCGTTTTTTTGGATCAGAAAACTGGATCAGTAGGTTAAACTTTTATTTCGCTGGGAAACCTGAAAAATAAAATCTAGAAAGTCGATCAAAACTAGAAGTCGATCACAATTTCCGTAACTTTTTAACTATCGCTGTTTGATAGTGCAGTTAGCCATCATTTTATCAAAGGAAATGAACTGAATTTAAAATTCAAAAGACAAACCGTGAAAAACTAAAATTAAGCTTGAACAAATTTGAAGACTGTTAATGGAAAAATCACAACAAACATTTTATCGCGACCTATATAAGAGTCTGAACAACGTTCATCGACTCTAAAGTAGCAACGGAACAAAACCTACGGAGCGAAAACTAAGACGACAATTATCTTTGAGCAAACATCAGTTGAGCCGAAAAAAAAGATTTTGTATAAAAAGTTTGAAGTCCCACTTAAAACTACAATGAACAACACTTTCAATTTTAATAAAAAATAGTTTACAGCAAAAGAAAATCCGCAATGTCGCAACTAAGCCGAAAAAACTTGAGCACACAAATGAAAGTCCGACAATCAATTTTTACAGGAAAAAAATTCAATTTCAAGCATACTAAAAACAAGCGTCGGCCGGGACTCGAACCCCTGAACCTTAGGCAACCACGCTATCTTTAAACCAAATGGAACCAAGTCTGGAAGTTCCTAAGGTTCAGTAATAAAGCAAGTAAAATTTGTAAGAAAAGTTGATCAGGGAAAAAAGTCTGATCCCGGTTACAAGATGTTTGCTCTCGCAAGTTTAATTATAGAAACCAAGAAAATTTCGCAAAAAAGCAAAAACTCAATATGCGACGATTAAGTTAAATCATTGGCAATTAATTTTAAATCCCTTTTCATTATTCAGCTTCCATATCCTAGAACTATAAAAATCATTTTGCTCCATCACGATAGCAATTGGTTAAAAAATCACAAAACTTCTCGTTTACATTAAGCTGGACGCAGTTTCTCATTTAATAATTCCTTTCTCGGCTTAAACTGTTCGAAAGCAGTTGAAAAGTTTGACTTCAAACCTCCAGAATTTCTATGATCTTCAGTTTCGTCTCCTGCTCTAGGTCATTCTTCTCACTGCCGTATGTTGTATTCTGTACCGATTCCGAGTTCACATCGGTAGCTGCGGACCTCGAATTGTAGTCACTCTGAATGTTGGAACCCGAGGATGGTGATGGTGAAGACGCTTGCTGCTGTTGGGTCACATGGCCTGCGTTCAGCTGGGAAGCCGCCGGGAAATTAGCGCCCATGATTCCCATTTGGACCACCTGTCTGATGATGCTGTTTCCCTTAGCTGAAAACAGACTCAAAGTTTACATGGAAACTGAAACAAAACAATCACGCTAATCAACGCCACACACTTAAAAGGGGTATAAAACATCACGTCACTTCACAACACTTCATTCAACGCAATAAAAAACTAAAGTAAGTTATGAAATGGTGTGTGTTCATGTGAATGGTATTGTGAAACTGGTGAATAAGTAAGCGACTGAAATTTAATTGCTCAGAATCAAAACGAGGAGGCAAAAGACAAAATCGAGGATCATGTTTCGACGTGATTGCTCCAATTCCCTTGGTAGAAACTGAACCCATGATCTTTGGAGAATGCATAGTGGTACGGTAGTAAAAAAGAAACCCACAATTCTTTTTTCATTACTAACAGAGGAAATGAATAAGTGCACTTCCTGCCTTGGTTGCGAAAACTTCAGAGTAATGCACTTATGTCATGTTAATTTTGCATTTTATTACCAAACAAAAATCCCTGTCACAAAAAAAATTTAAGCTCCAACTGTTTCCTAAAGATTATTGATTGCGCCACACAGTGATATTTAGAACTAAGAGCTGCTTGCAAAAGAAATGAAAACTTTGAAAATAAACTTCCAGAGGAGAGCCATTTCATTAGTCGAGCGCAGCTGCAGAGAACACTTCACACCCGAGGAAAAGGTCAAAATCAGCTCAATCAGGAATTAGTAGTATTGCTCTAGAAACCGTGCATCGAAGAAATTGCATTTAGGTGGCCGAACTGGAATGAAATTTGGAGCAAAGCACTTGTGAACAAACCGTGATAAGTTCAGGTGGATCACATTCTTCATAACAAGATTTTTTTGCCGCGTGGCGTGCTCCTTACGTGGGTGGGGGTGGGGGGAGGCTGGGCTTTTATTTTAACAGAAAGACCAAATGCTCAAATTTTTGTACCACTCAAGTTCCATAAATTGTCCAGAACTGGCTGATTTTTAACGCAATTCGCTTTCAAATCTTTGAATGCTGAAATAAGATTGCCATTTAAACAAATTTTCTAGCATTCGGTCTTCCTAGAATGAGGAATGATTCCACCCTTGTTAAAAAGGACGAGGACACCTGATGTTTTGCAGACAAACCTTCAGTATTTGCTCGACCAAAACCTTCGGTTTCGTGACCCTTATTTTCGGTCTGCTGATTTTCAGGGTCAATTGGTGTGAACATTAATGGGACAAGCAAAGCAGGCATTAAACTGTATGAAGTTTTTTGAGCTGTAATTCCTGAAGTATTGAAGAAACTTGTTTTTTGAGCTGCAATTCCTGAAGTGTTGAAGAAACTTGGACTCTTAGGTACAGAATTAGGAGCACCAAATACTGAGAGACCTCGCTTTCTGTGCACAGGGTGCGACCAGTCTTTTTCGGCCGAATTACTTGTCGGCACATATGAGGCTGAAGTAGCGCGAGTAGCAGTAGGCTCGCGGCTTTCATGCTCGCGTGACAGCGTACTTGGACACCAAAACTGGCGGCAAATTTGAGCTGCCGAGATGTGGCTTGTTTTGGTAGAAAACTCACGAGTATTAGATCTGTTTATTGCTAGAACACAGAGTTATATGCTCTAAAACTTGCATCTTATACTTTATAACAGATTCAACAGACAGTTGGAAAACTGTAAAAAAAAACTTAAGGAAAAAGAAAAAGTTCATTTTGTCAATATTTTTCGATTTTCAAAGAAAAAAGTATATGACGTTAAAAATCTTCAATTTTTTTAAAAATTGTTATGACTCGCACATTTTTCTAATAACTTACCCCATTTAGAGAAAACTGAGAACAGGTACATTCATGTTTCAACTAGAAGTAATTCTGGTCTTTCGTGACCTTTGCACTTTTGGTGTTCGATAGTGGAGCTTGCCTTAATTTTAACGAAGGAAAGGAACAAAACTTAAACACAAATCACTGGTCAAACCGCGGAAAAGTAAATATGAGCGTGATCAAATTTGCAGACTTTTTTTTAAAAAAATCTTCACGACCTATATAAGTGAAAATACACTTAAAGCAGTCCAAAATCTTTTCAACAAGTTTTCTAAATGATTCGTCTCGAAATGAACACCAAAAAATTTACCTAGTGACAAAATTTCTGTCATTGAGTTTCATCGAGGGTTAAAATCTCCGTCAGGGGAAGAAAACGCATACAATAATTGGGAATAAAATGATATTTAAGTCGCTGGGAGGCTTTTATTGCGTGACCTTAACTATGCCGGAAATACTTGATACGGTTTTCAGTTAATAAAAACAGGAAACACAGATATACACATAATACAGTTTCATTGTAGCGCAAATACTATATAGGAAGAAAGACACTTGGCCATCAATCTTTAAACTCATCAATATTCGAACAAATAAAAACACCCCTCAAACTAAAACACCCTCATTACAAGTTCTCTGAAAAAATTTCAGGCCAATTGTCTTCTCTTCCTTTTTTCACCCGCTAAGACATTTCAGAACACTACAGCTAAATGACTTACCACCGAACTCTAAGTGCACAAAACAAATGCTTTCACAAAACTCAAACAATAGAAGCTTTTTAAAACTATGCGATAGTTATGCCTGTATGCTATCATGATACATATACTGAATTTCAACTCATGGTTAGTTTTAACTTAAATTTAATTTATAAATGCTCAGCAACAATTTTAAATGAGTTCAGTCAAACTATATGAATGGAAAACACTTAAACCTATATGAATAGAAAACTACAAAATCTGAAATAAAAGAATTAAAATTTCTATCACGTCAGTGCTATAATGGCAGTCAAATCGAAACATAGTCCTTAGACAGTTGGAAAAGTGTTACTGAACTCGAAGTCAAAGAATATAAGATCAATCGACTCTGAATAATTAAGAGAACTGGATCAAAAGATGATTTTTTATCCTCTTAACATCGCTAGAAAATCAGAACAGAGCCAATCAAAGATTGGAAAAGAGTAATGAACGCAAGTAAACATAAAAACACTGACATTGTTTTAAAAAAAATCGAATTTCAAAGAAAAAAATAGATCCGCTTTAAGCTCTTTGAATTTCTTGAACGATTTATGATGGGCGTATTTTTGATAACATTAACCCAACTTGAGAAAACTGGATCAACAGGTAAAGCTTTTGTTTCGCTGGCCATTTAAAAAATAAATTCCACTTTCGAAACTAGAAACCGTTCACGTTTTTTCGCGCCAATTCCATGTTTGTATTTGGAGAGTGCTATTTACGTAACTTTCAGTAGATGAATTTCAATTCAACTCAAAAAGTGCATATATACATAAGAGCATTCATAAATGCATCAATATGTATGAATGCACATCTGTAATTATTAGAGACGTTTGTGCACATTTTAAAAAGTTTCTTGCAAAAAAAAATCAGCAAGACCTATATTAGAGCCTTCACTACGTTCATTACTCTTAAAAACTTATGTGTCAGGGATTTGACCCTTCACACCAAAGTTCCCCTTTGGTACTATTTTACGACATCGTCTCGCCCAGCTGACCCAAGAAAAAACCTAAAATTGCCGGTATATAAAAATTTTGGAGCGCGCGCCCAAAAAAAAAACAATTTTTCGGCCAAACCCTTGCAAAAAAGTGCCCAAAAATGCCTTTTTGCACTGTTTGTTTAAAAACTTGGCCTGCGGCGCAGAATTTTTCCGAAATAGGGTCATTATAAGGTTCTAGAAGCGCTCGGAAAATCAGTTTGGCCGACTTAAAAGGTAATCAAATTTTTCGGCTATTTTTGAAAATTCGAACCCCCTCCCCTCGAGAAACCCTAAGATCCGCCCTGATTTAAAAGAATGGCCAAATTGATCATATAGTTTAGATGATATTTGTTGCGTATTTTATTCAACTCAACGCACGTCATCACCACCATCTGAAAGGGGATACATGGTCTTGAAGTGAGCTATTTTCAGCGTAATTTGCAGGAAACGAAAAAGGGAGTTGTAAAAAAAAACTTTCAGACAAATAAAAAAAAGCATTTTTCAAAATTAAGAAGTAGCTTCCGCTAACTTTTTAAAAAAAAAAAAAAAACTAAGTAGCTTCTGCATGCAAAGTATTTGCGAAATAAGTCAGTTGGTCTTTTTAATTTTTTGTCTATCCGAACTGTTTCTAACTTATTTTAGTATATTTGGAATGACTCACTTGCATCTAGGGTTCTATAGTCGCACTTGGCAATTCCCTCGGAGCCCACTGAGCAGTCAAGTATAGACAGGAGAGTCCTCGTCAATTTGAGGAGGTCTTTGAAATTGTAGAAACCGAAATAGATCAAGTGTCGAGCCAAGTTCACCACCTGAAACGAGAGACGGATGTACAAAATACGAAACATAATTCCCGCCCCAATTTCTGAACATAGCCACTGACAGTTGGAAAAGAGTAATGAACACAAGGAACTTGAAAAAACACCGATTTCAACTTCTGAATTTCGGAGAAAAAAATAGATGGCCTTATAGCTCTTTGAATTTGTACAAAAATTTATGCTGGACACTTTCTTTGTCTAAATTAATCCAATTTGAGAAAGTTGAATCAATGAATTAAACTTTTATTTCGCTGGGAAATCCGATGATAAATTTCCACTTTCAAAATTAGAAGTCGATCACGTTTTTGCTGTTCGATAGTGGAGTTTGCCTTCCTTAACAATAGAAATGCACTGAATTTGAAAAGAAATCACAAGTCAAACCGCGAAAAATCAAAACTGAGCGTGAACAAATTTTGACTTTTTCCTGAAAAAAAATCAGCTAGACCTTTATAAGAGTATTCACTACGTTCATTACTCTTAAAAAGCGAAGCAACGCACCTAACGAAGTATACCATATATACTGTAATCGAACAATTCATAGGCAATTTATTTTTATTCAGGGAACCATCTATAAACTTTAAATCCGACCATCATATTCTTACCAAGACAACATTATTAATGGCTTATTTAGCTTTACCACAGATCCTACCCTCGAAATTGACGTTGGTTTCCGTCGCACCATTTAATCGCAACTTTCATTTCCCCATCTTCCACATTAACTTTTCCCTTAGCTCTGAATATTAGGTCGGAAAAACTAGCCTTGAGCCATTAAGAACGCCTGTCAACACGCTTTTATATTTTTTTCTATGAGGCGATTTATTTCAACCAGGAAAGACCGTAAATGGATTCACCATAGGGCCCGATTTTCGAATTCCTAAAGCGACAAATCGCTAAATGTTCAACTGACCGAAAGTTATTTGTTTTTAATAGAGAAACAAAGCTCAACAAAGGTCGTTTTGTCTCATGTTTCATTTGCTGAGTATTTCAGACCCCAGCTGCACAAAAATGACAAATTCTGTTATTAACATCAAAAAATAATATCGAAAAAAAAAACCTCGAATGTGAGTTTGTTTCTCTCTGCATTCTCAAACAGCTCCTTGGCCACTTCTTCCAAATAGTTGCCCACGAACTCGATCGTGTCCGAGAAGCGAGGCCTCGTCTGCTCGTGCGATCTCTCCTCCCCCTTCTGAGTGTCGTAGCTTAAACACAAATACATCAAAATCAACAAAAAATAATTAACTTTGCCTCTTAACACTCAGTGGTGTCCATCCAGTTAAATCAATAAAAGCAAATGTTTCAATCAAAATTATCTGAGAATTGAAATAAAAACTTTCATTTCAATAAAAACCAAAGAAGTTGAAAAGGTCAAAGAAATTTAAAAATCACTTGAAAAATAACGAAAGCTATTTTGTCATTTTTAGAAAAAACTAGCATTGCTGATTTTTTCTTATTTCAAAAAATGCGCGCTTTCAAGCGAAAAAGAATCTCTTAAACTAACCCCCTCCCCCCTTGCAAAAGGGCGAGATTCGTTACTGGGGTACAAAAGCACATACTTTCAATCATTTAGTTATAGCATTCTAGAGAGGGCAATTCGTTACTAGGTACCAAGGGGGGAGGGGGGAGGGGGAGTAGTTAAAGATATTTCGAAAAACTTTCTCATCCAGACAAAACTTTAAGTCACATTCGTGCAATTGACAAACTTTTCATTTAAATAAATTTAACTTGGAAAAAATTTAAATTAATTTAACTTGTTTATTGACTAATTAAAAGGACACCACTGTAAGATTAGAAAATGGCTGATAAATTATCTAATGGTCATTTTTTTCAATCTTCAAACTATCGAACAAACTACATGTCTAGGCTTCGTTTTGTTCCAATTTAAAATGCAGTCAAAAAATCTACCCAAGTCGAGGAATTCTTAAGCGAAACACAGTAAAAGAAAAGCATATCGCCAGAGTATTTTGAAATTCCAATCTCACAAAAACAACACGCACATGAAAAAACAGAGCAGTAAAAATTATCAGGTAGGTTCGATGCAACCAGCATGCTTAGAAAGAGAAAAAGAAAGGTAATCTTCTACTCCAATTTCATTTCTTACATGTCCTTTTGAAACGGTAATGACAATTTCCCACTTTTTTACTAATTAGTCTCAAACGACAAGGGATGATGGATTAGAAGAGGATCTTCAACTTGTAAATCTCATCATCCGCAAATTCATTACCAACTTATTCATTCTCAGGTTACTTCATTCCAGGTAACTTTTTTAACGCCAAATTATCTCGTCTTAGTACATTTGGAAAGGATCTCGAAGTGGAAGAACCAGTTTTTAAAACCCTTTCTTCCTCCCCTTCGCCCGGAAATTAAATAGTACTTTTGTACTGTAAGCTGGATTTATATAATAATGATTCAAGTACCAGATGAGTAGGAAATTGGACAATTATATCTCATTAAATTTGGTAAATATGCACCAAAAGTCTGAGCAGGTCTCAATGCACGGCGGACGAACCGGTAAAAAGAAATACCAAAAGCTATCCAGCAGTGGCGAAGCGCATACAAATGGCTGGATTTAAGTGAAAACGCAGCACGAGGTATGCAGACAGTCACTATTGTAACTGCTCTCTAATTTTTGAGTGCCTAAAGAAATCAGCCGCGGGAACTCTACAGGGGAACTCAATCTAGTCTAGCAAGGCTAAATTGGTCTCTTGGTTTAATACCTGGAAGAAAAATTTAAAAAAAAACCGCAAAAAGACAAAAATTGCATCATATTTATATTGGCACGTATGATAAATTAAGCCTAAATTGTCACAAAAAAAGCATGAAAAGTTTACACGCGTTGGTCGATGTTAAAAGTGAGTAGAGTTACGCACAATCCATCATTACTTCTATTAGCCTCAAGTCAACAAGCCCCCGTCGAGGGATCTGAGAACAAAAAAATTGGGGCGGTTCAAATTGAATTACGCTCCCGTCCATTCCGAGGCACAGAATATCGATTAGGATAATAATCATGGGGTCCAATTTGCGAAAATATGTTTGCATATATTTTTGACTTTCTAATAAATCCAATACGCTTGCACACCATTTGCGAGCTCTGTTACCTCCCCTCCCACTGTCAAAATTTAACTGCATATTGAACATATTCACAATGCTTTGAAAATCGGCATTTTAAAATTAAACCATATCTGAATATTATTGCCCATCTTGACTTTCATCAAATATCCATAATTGCTTGCAAAAGTACCAGTGAAATGGAAAATAAACTATAGGGAAAAGGAGAAGAGCCCATTGTTTCCGCTGCGGAAACAAAATTGGAATTGAAAAACATCGGTTATAGCCTTAACCCAACGATCTGCCTCAATGAAAAAAAAAACAAGCAATAAAAAAGTGTCATTGAACTTAACAAAACAAAAGACTTAAACCTGTGTCTCAGAAATTGCTTCTCAGTCGGCTGCGATCAAGCATGAAGAAAAAACACAGATAGAAAAAAAAACAATTAAAACTGAGGCAGAATCTATCAAACCGAAAAAAAAACAGTCAGTAACTAGGTCAAAAAGTTAGCCTTTTCGACCTGTTTTTTTTTCGAAAATTTATGGAAAAAAAATTTCTCACTGTCTTAGCTCCTAGCTAAGACTGAGAAAACCTAGACAACAGACAGTTGGAAAAAAGTAATAGACGCAAGGTAAAAGGAAAAAACAATGACCTGTTTTTTGAAAATTGTTAACTTTCGAATTTCAAACTAAAACTTATATGGCCTTACAATATTTGAATTTAAGAACAAAACATCATTGACACTTTTTTGATAAAATCAACTCATTTGGAGAAAACTGGATCAATAGATAAAACTTTAGTCCGCTGAGAAGCTTAAAATTCAATCCACTTCCGAAACTAGAAGGCAATCACGTTTTTCGTGACCGTTACACTTTACTGTGCGGTATTGGGGTTTCTTTCTTTTAACCAAGGAAACGAAATAAACTTACTGAAAAAAAAATCACCAAGACGTATATAAGAGTATTCACTACGTTCATGACTCATAGAAGCTCCTTGATTTTGCTGATTCACATATTTTCGATAAAATTACTCCCCGAAATGAGTCAAGGATAGCCGGTCGTCAAATACAGTCGTTCTTGTTTCCGGTGCAATGAAGGGATCTGAATAAAAGTCCAAAAATGCGATAGTATGGGTAAACAGAGGCGAATGAGAGCTTCACAGAACTTGCAATACAACACAAATATAAAAACCTATAAGTCGAAAAAAATTCAAATGTTGAAAAAAAAACTAGGTGAACCAAAACTTTCACGTCTCGATAAAAAAGCAACTAGGGGCCCAGCTAAAACTGGAAGTTCGTGTTTGATGTTCAATGAAACTGCTATACTGATGCGGTGCGATAAATATAATTTCAAAAATTGGACTTTGTCCAAAACCTTAGTTGTTTTTCTAATAAACAATGAGAGGAGTAACAAAAATTTGAGATAATCAATTTTCCCAACGAGATAACATTTCTCTTACAAATTAGGGAGTCACCGCTTCTGCAAGAAACATTATCGCAACCGGTTTTTTCAATTGACCTTTTCATCTCAGACCGCCTAAGCAAGGAAAATTCTCAAGGCCAGAATTTTCGATTGAACACAACCTGAGAAATGGCACGACAATTTTAGCGTAACACAAAAAATTCCAAAAAAAACTGACTAAGTTTCACATACTTGACTTGTTTGAAGGCCATAAGTTTTTCTTGAACAAAATGGGTACAGCCAATTATAATGGTGGGCTTTCAACAATCTGTTCTTTCGGTTAAACCTATGATATCAGATTTGGCAGGATAGTTAGCGAGAGAAGTCCAAAAAACAATCTAATTTCGAATGAACCCAAAACCTCAGATTTGGGAGTGTAGTTCAATAAAAAACTCAATAATTTTTTTAAAACAGTGTAGTCGCATAAAAAAAATGAGCTTACCACAGCCCGTTCTTTGAATTGAATCCAAACTCTCAGATATGTCAGGGTAACTTTCGAGAATATTCAAAAAGATTAAGCAACGGTAAAAAAAATCAAAAATAAGACTTTTCCGAAGGCCATAACTTTTGCCTAAAAAGTTAAGAGTGGTTGCTAATGCAGGTAGCTTCTCACTGCCCGTTATCTCAATTGAACCCACAATATCGGATTTGAGAAGTTGTTTTCGAGAAAAGTCTTACAGTTTTCGACAGAACGGTCTTAAACCAAAAACTCAGACTTGAGAGGCATAGTTTTCGAGAAAACGAAAAAAATCAAAAATATGAGTGATATATTACCGCAGAATTTTGCGAAGGCTGCAGATGGAGGGGTCAAGTAAAAAGAGACTTTACGGGAGTATACAAAGCACTAAGGTGAGAAAACAATCTTACAATTGATACCCCTTTTTCGAAAATCGCAAGCAGTTTCTGAGATAAACTTAAATTTTTTCAAGTGATTCTTTGAAAAAAAAAATCATCAAACCGATTGCTAAAAATAAAACTAATTTGAAAAGTGCGGAGTGGAAACTTGAAATTGTGTTTCTCTTGAATTTCCAAATATTAGGTCATCAGGCCGATAAAAATAGGCCAAAATAATGTTGGCTGAGGAATGTGTTTTAGCTAAGCAAAAAATACAAAGAAGGAAATACAAGTCAAGGTAAGTAAAATTACAAACTGTGGGAGTAAATATAACACTTCAAGCAACAAAAAAGAAAAATGCGCGCAGCATAAAAAACGATCCCAAGATGTGACAGCTGAAACGACTACAGATAAGCAGAAAAATAATTGGCCGACAGTTTTATTCCAACAGAAAATTTTCCGATTGAAAAAAAATCTTAAGCTTATTATCAGCCAATTATTTTCGCTTTATTAGCTCGAAATTGGACTAAATATCAAAAACTTCGTCGGTTTTTCTCAAAACTTTTACAAAAAGGTTTAATGCCGTTCGAATCACGACTGCATGGACTTTAATATGATATACTATTCGAACCCTTCTATTAATTATGGTACTCGATTTTGAGTGGAAAACAAAAAAATTTAAAAACACTTGAAAATTTAAAATACAAAGTTCCTCCCCACTTCCGGTGATCGGAACAAAAACAAGATCAATACTCATTTTTTTAAACTTACAGTGAAGCGAGCTTTTTCGCCATTTTTTATTTCACGCCGTAGAACGATTTCAATTGAACTATTTTGAACATTTTCATTTGTAAATCACATGTCCAAAAATTAAGAATCTACCAAAAATTTATTTAAGTCGTCCGTTCACAGAAATCAATTTCGAAATTTTTTGTCTGAATAAAAAAACACAGCCTAGATGAATTAAGACGTATTTCATTTAATTATAACATTTAAAAAATCCGTTTCAGACCAACGTTATAGAAGAAAGTAGCAAACATCATAAAATATCTGCAGAAATTTCCATGATTTACGACTTTGACGACAGCCGTTATTTAAGACTTTATTTCCTCCTCTGGTCAGTTGACTTGTCAAAGAAATTTGGCGTTTTCCCATTCCGTGGGAGAATTTAACAGACATTGAATTATGTTAGCAATACTCTTGGGGCTATAAAATTCAATGTACATGTACTGCAATGTTCAAATAGTCTAGAAATTCGTGGAACAAATTATAAATTGAACGGGCGGTTTAGCGAGAGCAATTCATTATATTGTTCTCAACACAAAAGGCGACGGTCAATTTCCAAATTCAGAGCTCAATTTTTTTTAGATAGGTTAACTAAAACGATACGAAGAAAACGCAGGCGGGTAGGCCACTTCAAAAGTTTTCAGCTCTTCAAATTTTATCAGCATTAGAGCCACAACTGGCAACCTGTCAAGTCTTAATTCACTTATGAAGTAGAATTTATAGCCCATTGCCACCAAATCTGAAAAATTAGTTAGCACATCTAATTGATTTAACGCTTTAACCAGATCTGGATGTTGAACTTTCAGTTTTTCTTGACCTGTGGATAAACAACTTCTTCTGGAAAAAAATCAACCGGACAATGGCCATGTTAAACGTGAATGTTTTTCCCTAAACCTAAATGTTCTCCACTAAATGACATTCTATGCGGAAAATCATTCTCGTTTACTAAATGCATCCCTGTGCAATCGATATATTGTTTTTTTATTTTGACAATTTTAACTTCTGCATTCCGATCAGTTAAAAACATGCTAGACAATTTCCAACTATTTTCAACTTAGGGTGAGATTGTCAAATATATCTGCCATTATTCGCAAAAAGCATGCCATTGCAAGAAAAGATGTGATTAAAAGATAGAATCATATCGGCGCAAGTATGATAGTTGGGTTGCTAAGTTACAAAAGGAGCCCCAAAAACTAATTGCCAATCAAATTTTATAGAACATTATAACCACTTAGATCATCCAAACCAATTTTTCTATACACTGTTAAAATATTGCCGCGAATAATTTTTCATGCTTTTTTTTTTAAAAAAAAGGGACCCAACTATTATAGTTGTACCATCACATCAGCTATCAGACATTTGATGGTCAGTTGAAACAGTTTGCTTATATGAGCCTACTCTGTATATCAGGATCAAACCTACTTTGACAAGAGACTCTGATTTTACGTTACTCTTGCTTTAAACTAGGTCAATCACCAAATTTTATTTCGCTGCAGCAAGCCAACAGAAAATAATGAACTAAAAATGTTTTAGTTTACGATTCATCGCATGCCGGTCCTCCTAATACGTAAACATCCTTGAGGAACGGCAACGACTTATCTTAAAACCAGTTAACATGACTCCCCCTCCAAATATATATGCCACAAAAATCGTGGAAACATCCCGAACACCAAGTTCAGTTGGCTGAAAATGGTTATTTTAGATAGTTCTTGAAGGTATTTTTTGGATGCCAAATTAGTTTAAAAAGCTCTTTGATCAGCCTAGCCTATTTATGCGATGCTGCATAGTGGTGGTTGTTCAATTGTTGTCTGTACTTTAAAAGAGTGATTTGCATGAATTTGTTGTATAATGAACCATTTTATCTTAATAATTATATATTAGGATTAAAGATGTTAGGTTGCATCCAAAAATCACTTTCTTGGCTGTCGGCTTGCTGTTCAGTTCAACTAGTTTCCAGGACAACACCAAAAAACAAAGTTAAAAAATCCTGCTGCCGCTTGCGCTGGCTGAAGGAGCTCGCGGCTGATTTGATGGGCAGCGCGCTTGATTGGTTTCAAAAACCAGTAAATCAGCAATTTAGAAAATCAGTGTCGAATGATGTCGCATACTTACTAGAGTCTCGCGCATTGTTCACTGAAACGTATTATGCCCCCGTCAAAACCAAATAAATCTTGATTACATGAAACTTGTCCAATCGAAAACAAACTTGAATTTCACTCAATTTTTTTCAGATTTCAAATCTTTGTAGAACATTCTGAACACATATATTACAACAAAAACATAGCCAACAGGCAGCTAGAAAAGAGTCAATGAACGCAAGGAAAAATTTTAAAAAATACTGCCTTATTTTTGAAGAAAAAATCTAACTTAAACGAAAAAATATAAGGCCATAAAGCTCCTTGAATTTCAAGAAAAATTTATGATTGAAACCTGTTTTGATAAGATTGACCCATTTTCGAAACTAGAAATCGATCACGTTTCTCGCGCAGTCTACATTTTTGCTGATCCATAGTGAAATTTGCTTTCATTTTAATAAAGAAAATGAACTGAACTTAGAAAAAAAAATCAAAATTTCCACCTCCAAAAATCAACTTCGAGCGTGAACAAATTTTCACTCCTGAAAAAAAACGAAAACAGCCAAGACCTATTTAAGAGTCTTCACTACTTTCATAGACTCTCAATAAAACTGCTGGATAAACCATTTAGATGAATCTGAACAAAAATTGCGACCAGCGAACAATTCCATCATTAAAAATCTACTTCAATGAAAACAAACCGAGCGAAAGTATCAAATGGAAAAATTCGTACTAAAATCAAAATACTGTAATCAGAGCTAAACTATACTTTAAAGTAGGTTTCGATGCACATGGCCGTAAGACTAAACTTCGTGCTCGAGGAAGCTGAATCAATGTAATTTTTCATTCCAGTGGGAAATCTTAAAATTAAAGCCTTCAAAACTAGAAGTCGATCACGTTTTTCGTGACCTTTACACTTTTGCTGTTTGAGAATGGAGTTGGATTACCTTTTAACAAAAAAATGAACTGAACTTAAAAGAAATCAAAAGTCAAACAGCTGAAAAAAAATGAGCATGCATAACTTATAAGAATTTTTTCTCAAAAAAAAATACGTTCATTGACTCTTAATTAAAGAACTAAGACTATTTTTTGAACATAATCCCATTCAGTTGGTAGCTACAGTTATTTCAATTTGGAGATTTTTAACTAAGCCGCAAATACAACAAAAATCAATCACTTATATAAGCACATCAGTCAAAATCGGCATTGACCACAAAGCCTGAAGTACATATCAATTCTTAACTAAAGACCACTAACAGCAGTTTTGACCCTTTCAATTATACATTAAATAACCAGCGCATTTTTTAAAATTTTAATTAGTAATTGGTCGTCCTATTACATAAAAAGTTCTTCCCAAAGAAAATTCAATGTGTTTCAATGCTGAATATAAAAAAAAATTAGCTCACTCTTCGATCGATATCTGCATTGGAATCCTGGACCACAGTCTGGCATACCTCACCGGCTGCACCTGTTCCTGCGGATCTCTATCTACGTGCATCCTGAGCAACAGCTGGCAGAAAGAGGCTCTCAGGTCGTATGGCAGTTCTGCATTAGACATGCAGGTCATGATCAGGTCTATGGGCAGTTGTTTTCCGATTACGTCTATGGCCAGATACTGTCTGTCCAGGCACATTTGAGAAAACAGGTCCAGTTGGTACCTTGAACAGAATATACAGACCATACTTCATGAAAAGTTTTCGCTTGCGATTGTCAAAACTAAACATATTGAGAATTTAACATAATACTCAACGCATTCAAACGGCCAAATAAGCTATTTAGAAATATTCCCGAAAGAAAATCTGCACAAATTTTTCATAGAAATTCACGTACAGCATGGGAAAATGATCATGCAGGAACATTTCCACTTTTATTGTAACCACTTTTGATCCATGATTGAGACCTTTGGGCTTTGCAGTAGACGAAGTGAATGAATGAATACTGAGAAGGTCTCCTTTGTCCCAGGAGACAAAAAGTCCCTATTCTATTTCTCGACCATTATACCTCCAGCATACTACACTTCACCTTAATTATTCAGTCCTGCAGTCCTATTTTTATTGCCTATGTTCAACAAATATTCATTCTGGGGCAAAAATCAACTTACCGAATCCCGGATTTTCACAATTTTTTTTTTAAATATCAGAACACTCCCTAAAGCCCCCGGAGTTTGAATCTGTAAAAATATTAGGTGAAAACTAAAATTTAGGCTGGCAATGAACCTAAAATGATTTTAAACAGTTTCAAACGGTGAAAACTTTCATTTGAAATGCCTCTGATATCTTGAAACGTGAAAATCTGCATGAGCTTGAATGAATTATGTCAGTGGCAGGCGAACAACTAAAACACGCTTTGATAGAGTAGCTATAGGTTTTTTTAATCTATCCAATAAAGTACAACATTAATAATTTCTTAAATAAGTAATTGAAACAAACACACAAAAGCGTAACTGCAAGAACGCACGTCGATGCACAAACGCGCGTTGAAACCAGTTTTCCAGGAAAAGCCCAACGCGCGTGTGTGCATCGACGTGAGTGTGCGCGTTCAGGTAGTTACGCTTTTATCATCTATCTGTTTCAATTACTTACTTAATTAACAATGATTTAATTCATCGAATAGAATAAATTCCATAGCTTCAGTACTTGTCCCGCGTCAAAAGCAGCCTTCGCCGAGTATAGCAGTCTGGTGCCGAATTAACTGGTCGGGTTTATACGGCTCTTTTGCCCGAGGCCATCTTCAACTATGTTCTAACTGTTGAAGAGTATGTTTTTGCTCTTTCTGAGAGAAAGATGCCAGAAAATTGTGAAAGAGCCCGGAAAAGTGCGCAAAACTATGCAAATGAGTTCTTTTTTCAATCATGCGTTCTAATATTTCATTTTTATTCATGCCTTGTCGTGAAAGAACATGTGTGAAAGAGCAAAAACATACTCTTCTAATTTCTAGAACATTTTATGCATGACGCTTTTTCAATAAAATGAATTCAACTAGAGAAAACTGGATCAATAAGTAAAGTTTTTATTCCATTAGAAAACTAAAAAGTAATCGAGTGTTCATGTTTTTTCGCGCCATTTCCACGTTCGTATTTGGAGAGTACTATTTACGTCACTTTCAGCAGATTAATTTCAATTGAACTCAAAAAGTGCATATATACCTAAGTGCATTCATAAATGCATCAATATGTATGAATACACATCTGTAGTAATTAGAGACTTTTACTGAAAAATAAAGAAAAAATCAGCAAGACCTATATAAGAGTCTTCACTACATTCATTACTCTTTAAAAAAAATCAGCGCTACCTATATAAGAGTCTGATGTACGTTCAGCGACTCTTAATAACGGCCCACCCTGAACACTTTTCGAGACAACGCTGACGTAGCAACTCATTAACACAATCAAAGATTAAATCGCTCACACTACATAGCCAACTGACAGGTGGAAAACTGTGATGACTTGTTTTTTATTTCGAAGTAAAAAAATATACGGCATTATCCCTCTTCGAAATTCAAGACAAGTTTGTACTTGCCACTTTTTTGATAAAATTAACTCAATTTGAGAAAACTGGATAATGAGGTTAAGTTTTTATTCCAGTGGGAAACCTTTAAGTTAAATTCTACAATCGAAACTAGAAGTCGTTCACGTTTTTTCGCACCATTTCCACGCTCGTAGTTGGAGATGACAATTTACCTAACTTTCAGCAAATGAATACATATTGAACTCAAAAGCGCATATTTATCCAAGTGCATTCACAAATGCATTAATATGCATTAATATGTATAAATCCACATCTGTAGTTCTTAGAGCATTTTAAGACTTTTTCCTGATCAGAGTCTTAATTACGTTCATTGCTCTTCATATGAAACACTTATTTTTTCGTGTTCAAATATTATTGTTGGAAGGGTAATAACCTCATGAATTCTCTCACACGAAGCAATGGTCCTCTTCCATTGAGTAACAATTACATACAACAGTGCAAAGTTGCTCATTTTGATTCTATTTAGCACCACGATATGAGAGGAACACATGAAATATTCTCCGTATCTGATGATGCAAAAAACAAAGTACGCCTCGTCTGAGCTTCAAAAAAGAACTCATTTTCTGATCAAAGTTAGCTTATCCGTTCACTCCCAAACAAGCAGCACATTTCAGTGAAGTTGCTCAAAATAAACGATTGTTGTTGGCTTTCAACTATCACCTACTTCAAAGTAGACCAAGTACCATTGAAAGCCTTCTAATCTTACACACCATCAGCCCCAATTAAAAACTTCAGAGCGGGCATCCAAGTAAATTTGGAGTCATTGATTCATACCAAAATTATTTCAAGCAGGCGTTAATACTATATACACTATTTCCATACAACACAATTTCCATTTAAGGTAACTTCGAAAGAAATACATTAAGTCTAGGTGTAAAACGCAATAAAAAGCGTTATCAAACACAATTGGGTTGTTGATATGTACTTAGTACACATTCAATTAACCGACTTAAATGTTTCGACTTAAGTGTCAAGCATTAAATTTGAAGAAAAAAAATCAAATTTTTTCCCGTTTTTTCCATGGCCGATTATTCCTTCAAGAAAATCAATTTACCATAGAAATGGGATGGCATTAGTCAATGATGCAAAAAAGACTTAAACCTACGGAAAGATTATAGAACGATTATAAAATTGAAGAATTGAATATGTGATCTTAGAAAAGTGAAAGAACTCGCCTGTAATACTCCAGGATGCTTTGGTCTTCTTTCACTCCCTCTTTGGCCCCAAGTGCTAGTAGCCTCAGAGACTTGCAAACCTCTCTCTCCTGCCCAATAGAACCACCCCCCTGTGAGTTGTGCAACAGAATGGACGCTGCAGCCGAGGCATTGCTTTGCAGGCTAAACAACATTGGGTCATCAAAATGGGTGGTTTAATTTTTTTCGTGAATGAACACGACCAAAAATCAAAAGTTTTAGCATAAAAATTATTTTCAAAATTACTTCAGCACTACCGGTAATTGGTTTGCACATCACACTTAATTAAAAACGCTCCAAGCTCGATGCCTGCGAGTAATCATCATCATCATCATCATGACTAAGGCACTACTGCCCATTGTCAGCCACATATTGAGTCCCGAACTATCGCACGCCATCGCTTTCTGTCCAGGGCTGCCTCCATGCAGGCATCTTTCCAGCACAATCTCCACTTGTCTGCCCTCATGTTCGGTGGTTTCAGAACACGTTCGAGGTCAGCAGCGACTGTTGATCTCCATGTTCTTCTGACCCCACCTCTTGGTCTTTTCCAAGTGGGCGCCTTCTCGAAGAACAGTGCCTCCTTCGTCACTCTCTCATCCGGCATTCTGAACACATGTCCACACCACTTCAGTCGCATACGCCTCAGCACATAGTCCATAGGTGAGTCAAGTTGTGCTTTGCGAAGCAGTTCCTGGGTAGCTATTTCGAATCCATTGTAGACAAATCGCCGTGCACACCTAGTTTCGAATGAGGACAACCTGGCCAGGTCCCCTTTCTTAACCGGCCATGTTTCTGCGCCGTATAGGAGAGCACTTCTTACGCATGCTTTGTACACTTTGCTTTTGGTCCTGGTGGTTATGTTTCTGTTACTCCAGAATTTCTTCAGCTGCGCAGCATTTCTAGTCGCGCTGGCTATTCTGTGCTGAACTTCTGGGGTAATGTCTCCGTTACAGGTGATGCGGCTTCCTAGGTAGTCGAACTCAGTGACGTTTTCTAGCTTAACACCATTACAAAATAGCACCGTTGGCTCGCAACAGGAGAACATGCACTTAGTCTTGGACTCGTTCAGTTGGAGTCCTACCAATTTTGCGGCGTCAACTACTCGATTCAGTAAGTTCTGGGCGTCATCTGGATTGTCCTCTGGCAGGCAAATGTCATCTGCATAGTCCAGGTCAGTAATACTGGTTTCTAGCCGGATACCTAGATTCGTGTTATCTGTGGCGACGTTCAGGATCCGATCAATGAGGATGTTGAACAGGAAGGGTGACAGGACGCCACCCTGGCGGACTCCTGTTTCCACGTGGAACGCCTCTGATAGGTTGTCGTTTCTTCGCACGATGCTGTTGGACTGTGAATACATGTTCCTGAGAATCCTAAGCAGCTTGTCTGGCATTCCGTGATCTTCCAGGATCTTCCATATGGCATCTCTCTTGACGCTGTCAAAGGCAGCTTTGAAATCTATGAAGACCATCACTGTGGGTCTATTGTACTCACTTCGCTGCTCGATTATCTGTCGTAGGGCGAAAACTTGATCTCTACAACCTCTTCCCTTCTTAAAGCCGGCTTGATTATCTCTCGCGTATGAGTCGTAGAGGTCGTCAAAACGTGCGAGTAGTATAGCTTCCAGGATTTTTAAACCAATGCAGAGCAGAGATATTCCTCTATAGTTGCTGCACACTAGTTTGTCACCTTTTTTATGAAACGGCAGGAGTATTGACGTTCGCCATTCATCTGGGACTGCCTCTTCTCTCCATATATTTTTGAAGAGGTCTTTCAGAAGAAGTACTATTCTCTCACCTCCTTTTTTGAACAGTTCTGGTGGGATGTGGTCGCACCCGCCAGCTCTGTGGTTATGGAGGCTTGCTAGTGCAACCTCAATCTCACTTCTTAGCGGCTCTCCCTGATCTATATCCGTAAAGACTCCAGTACTCGAGACGACCTTGGGCAGTTGGGCCGGGCTGTTGTCAGCATTCAGAAGTTGGCAGAAGTGAGTTGCCCATCGTTGCATGACTTCCTTGCTATCGCTGATTTGTTGGCCATCGAGACCTTTGACTGTTTGTGAACTACTCGATTTGGCACCACTCAAAGTCCGAATGAGGCGGTACATCTCTCTAGTGTGTCCTCTTTCATTGGCGTCCTCAATTTGATCCGATTTCATGTCGAGGTAGCAGTTCTTGTCTTTTCGGATGAGTTTTTTCACCAGCTTTCGTTGCGCAGCTATTTTCGAGAGTTCAGCGCCCTTAGCCTTGAGGTTTTCACGTGTTCTGATGGCTTTGAGGGTTTCATCAGATATCCAAGGTTTCCTTACGGTGCACGAGATTCCCAGATTCTTTTTCGCCGATGATATCATACTGTCTCTTAGGATTTCCCATTTCTGGTTCACGTTGCTGGTAGATTCGGTTACTGAACAAAGGGCCGTACAGTATTTCCTGGAAGTACCTGTATGTTGGAGCGCATCGAGGTTGAGTCTAACTGTTCTATGGGTTTTGACATATGTACGAAGTTTCGTCTTCAGATTGCATTTCACCATTCTATGGTCGCTGTCGATCCAAATCTTGTCACTTCTTGCTCTGATATCGTTGATCGCTGTGCGCCATCTCCTCTTGATCAGGATGAAGTCTATCTGGTTCCGGGTTCGTCTGTCGCGTGATATCCAGGTATATAGCTGGTGGTTCTTCTTCTGGTACATCGTGTTTGCAATTGCCAGGTCGTTCGTAGCTGCAAACATAGCGAGGCGTTCTCCATTGTCGTTTCGTTTCGATGTTTTTATGAAACGACCTATGTGTTGTTGTTCCGCGGGGTATGCCTGTCCTAGGCTGGCATTTAGATCTCCCGCTAAGATAATTACATCACCGTTGGGGCATTCTTCAAGAGTCTTTTGTAGTGTTCGGTAAAACTCATCTTTGTCGAGAGCTTCTGCGTCCTCAGTCGGCGCATATCCACATATAATGGATAATGGGTAGGGTTTAGCAAAGATGCGGGCGGAGCAAACTCTGGGGCTGGTTGCTTTCCATGATTGCACGGAGCTGCTGAGTTTCTTGTCGATTGCGATACCAACTCCGTGGATGCCTCGGTTGTCGTCATACCCACTGGTGTATACTTTGTAGTTTTTGGTGTTATGCGTGTTGTCTCCGGAAATTCTAGTTTCCTGAAGGCAGGCAATGTGAACTCCATGGTTTTCAAGGGATTTATCCAGGAGCTCGAGAGATCCTGGCTGTAGGAGCGCCAGAACATTCCAGGTGCAGATGTTGATATGGTGTTTGGTATGTTGGAGCGGTTTTTGTGCCGGATTAGCATTTTCCACCATGACGGCACTCATGGTGGCCCCAGTTCCCGCGGGGGGCGTAGCTGTATTCTGAATACATTTTGGGACTTTCATAATGTGGGTTCTTGGCTGGTTTTACAGGGCTCGCCACGCCCCAACCCTCCTCCTTTATCCGGGCTTGGGACCGGCTGCCTTCTCAAGAGAGTTAACAGGCGGAGAGAATCAATGTTTCGAAAAGAAGACAAAAAAGCGAAACATTGACTTTCTGATGACATTAGCTCTGTGTTAATTTTGGCGTATTGAATCTATAATCTCAGAGTAATGCTTCAATGGCGTATTGAATCTTGGCGTAATTTTGGCGTATTGAATCTATAATCTCAGAGTAATGCTTCAATGGTTCTGCGAACGATCTGATCAGCTAATAAGTTGGTCCTCTCTTCGTGGAAAAATGTTGTTCATCTTAACTGGAAAATCGACCACTTGTTCTGGTATAGGAAGTTGCAAGACTTTGGAATCGACAGAAGGATTTAAAATTGGGTGAGCTTGTGACACTTTGTCAGCAAAGTTAGATTTTGCATGCAAAATTTTCGAAAACAAATCATTTGCTCGTTTTAAGAAATAAACTTTGTCCATTCCACTTCTCTGCGACTATAAATCACCTGTAGTTGTTATTCCTGGCCGGAGCGGGGACCCACACAAGCGTGACTTCGTCTTCCTGCACCACCCGCACACTGGTGGCGTCTGTTGTCGAGGTGGTCCCGTCCGCCGCCAATGTTGCGGTAACTGTCGTACGTGGGTCTAGGGTCACAATTGGTGCCCGTTGTTCTATCTGGATGGCTGGTGGGGGTTCGTCGTCATAGATATCATCGATTTCTCGCTAGAGCAAAACTCATAATTTACATAGTCACCTAATGAACACCTTGTTAACTCGTTCCGAGGTGCAAAATTCACTTAAGTTGAATCAATGAATAGATTTTAGGTTCAAATTAGATTCCACATAAAATGCGGAAGAACGCAGAAAAAATTAATTTTAGTTGTTCGGAACATAAATTTTTTTTCGTCACTTTTGTCTGAGCTGCTGGGATAGTGGTAAAATTTTGTCTCGCAAAAATCCTGCAATTTTTGAAAACTTAAATTTCCATAAATTTGTAGATGAACAAATTTTGAGTTTCACAGAAAATTTTTTTGACTCTTTGAAATTCGAGAATCTTTCATTACGGGAAACTTCTTAAGAATATACTTTTTTAAATGCTAGAAAATGTGAAAATTAAAATCGTTTTTTGACACTAAAAGTCAAGTTTCATATTTCCTGTCTGTTGTTACTGGAGAGCTTAAATGGCCTTTTAGTTAGCACATGAATTTGAATTGGACCAAAAATCAAACCTCGAAAAATTAAATGTGAGCGTGAACAAATTTTAATTTTTTTCAAACCAAAAAAAAACCAAAACCACACGACACAAATAAGTGAATTCACTTCATTATTGAAAAACCTGATCAAACTTCTCCACACTAATTGTTTTTTTTTGTAGCAATCAATATTAAATTTCCCCATCTGGCAAAGTGAATTATTATACAGCGCTTCAAAACTCGTTCGTTGCTTTTTGTGCTGTTGTTGAATGCAAAACCTTTCTTACTTTATTTATTAGGAAATACACAGAATCTATAAGTTTGTGAAGCCTGTTTCACAATCATTCTTTCTGTGAAAAGCATTCTTTTTTAAATTCTCAATCCAGCTTTCATAAATCCATCTTCAATTCAAACCGTTAGCTTTAATTTTTAAAAATCACCCTTTATACGACTTTCCTGGCCATAAAACTCCAAAAGTTCACTTTCATTCTTTCTGATTTAAATCATCACATTTAATTCAAACTCCATGTCACGTGAAGAAAGCCCTGCGCGCATTGTAAAAATTAAAACACACGTTGCACTTGGTAACAAGTTAAGCTAACCGTGACTGTTTTTATGACAGTTTTAATCAGGATGTCCGCATTTCTCTCTTGGAGCACTTGGTTACAAATGAACTCCTGGGTGGTTGGAATTGCCTGATTCATACTGACACACAAATCGGCCAAGTACTGCAGATACTTGCAGTCTTTATTCTCTCGCACAAGAGATATAAATGTATCTATCTCTTTTGTACTGATGTGTTTTTCCAGCAGTTTTCGATTGTTATGCAGAAGTGCAGTTATGGTATCTTCTGCCAAGATGTCATATCCGATTTGTCTTTGCATGAATTGAAACTGCCCCGCAATGTACTCCTAAAACGCATCAAAACTTTAAAAAGCTCAAAAAAATATATATTCAAACATTCAGTTTATTGTTTTAAAAATTCATGATTTCGGCACATGATTTCCGCCGTTCAATCAACCACTGTTAGCAAATTTTAAGGCTTTTTAAACAGGAAACAGCCGTTTAAATCGAAAGTGTTTTAATGGAGAGTATTGATCGACTTTTCATGACAATAAACCCGTTAATCCGACCACTTGGCAAGTGTGGTTGCTGGTATTTTCTAAATATTCCCCTAGGGAGTTTCACTCATTTGAAGGTAAACTTCTATTAAACAAATTGATCCCAGACTTTTTACCACCTGACCCTAACGTACACGCAAATGAAATTAAACACCAGACAACTAATAAAACCTCAAATGAAAGTTGTCTTCACTGCCCGACAAATTAGCATTATCATACAGTGTATTCTTATCGCCTTCACGATCTCAAAACCTAATATACAGCAATTTGCCAAAATGATTTACCAGATTTTATTGCACTTATTTGACATTTTTAGCATAGAAACTAAACAATTAGACGCCTTTAAAACTAACACAAGGTTTAATATACACTTGCAACCATTGGCACCATTATCAGGGGCGGTTCTAGGATTTTATTGAGGGGGCGGATTTTCAAAAAAATTTCGAAAATTTGGTCAACTTTTATTTAGTTTGATCCAATTGATTTTCCGAGCTCTCCCAAAATACTAAAATGACACTGTTTTGGCCAAATTTACTGCGGCGCAGGCAAACATTTAAAAAAAACAGTCCAAAAATCACGTTTTTCGGAGTGTTTCCCCCTCAAAATTATTCAATATAGACGCCAAGAGCCTTTAGAAAAATTTTAGGCTCCGTCAGCCAAAGGACCTAAAACAGAGGGAGGACCCTTTGGGTCGGCAGGGTTCGAACCCCTGAGGAAATGGGGCTTCCCCTCCCCCCGACCCCCCCCCTCCCCCCGACCCCCCCCCCGCACCCACCCAAATCCGCCAATGCCATTATTATCCAAAATATAACTACTTAATTGATCTCTTCAAAAAAGAAATCTAATTCCATCAGCCATGTTTATGCTTCGCAGATGAACTCTAGATGTTGATAGATCGTTAAAAGATAGACTAAAAGGAAAGACCAGAAGATAAAATCTGTCTGCTGTTAAAATCTAGTAGTGACTGTACCTATTGTTCACGACATGGGGGCTAAAATAAGTGACATGGAAACCGTTATACATTCATAAACAGGACCATTTGCATATAAAATTTATACATAGTCAACAGACAAATAGAAAATGATATTCCTTTTGAAAAATATTCGAGTTTCGCGGAAAAATGGTTTGCCTTAAGGCTAATCGAATTTCAAGGGAATCTTTTATTTCGGGCACTTTTTTGATCAAAATTTTTTAATTCTGTAGAAAATTTGAAAATTAATTTTCCTTGTTTATACTAAAATTCATAGAGTTTTATTTTTACCGCCTTTAATTATTGGAAAGCGTGATTTGCTAATGAATTTAACTTGAAGGAAATGAGGAGTCAAACCGCAAAAAAAACCGCACAAAATCACTTCAATCTTGGGCTCATGAAATGAAGAGAAAAATCAGATGAGTTCAATCGGAGAATAGTTTGAAAAATTTCACCTGGTTCTTCCTGTAATCCTGCTGGGCAAATCTAAGAATGCGATAACACAATCTGTAAATATGTTTGATTGCACTGTGACTGGAGTCCTTCAAGTCCTCCATGTTGAAAAAGGGACCATCTGCATTGTCAGTATTCAGAGGAATCCTCAACAGGTTGAAAATCTGCTCGAGCACTCCTTGTTCACGCAGTAGTTTCTGTCGCTCTCTGTCTGGGTCCACCTTTTGGTCGTTTTTGGTTCCTAGTTGCAGTGGGTCTGATCCATCATTGTGTCGATTTGCAACGAAGAATATGAGGTCTGTCAACAGTGCTTGCACATGTCTGAAACGCACAACTTTGCTATGTTATTTGTAAACGACTAAATAATAACAAAGTTACTTCTGACTGCATATGAAATTCTAAGAATCCTATGAAGTACATATGCTTAACTGCCAGAGACGATAAAAAACGATTTGCTAATCAAGAGTAGAAGGTCCGTTAACTCTATGACAAATTAAGCCGCACAAAATTTACCTCTTCTCGTTGGGAATAATGAGCGCCTTCTGCAACTTTCCCGTGATATCAGCCAACACTTGGCTCGCATCATTGGCAAAATCCAGATCTCTGACTTCTGTCGCACTCACAGGCACAATAGAGAACGCCTCCGTGTCCTCTTTGATACTTGCCACTCCCACTTTTAGCATAACAGGTTTGTCCTCGTGTTCATCTATGGCCAATTGTGTCGCATGGACCCAACCTCCCCACCCTCCAGGGGTGATTGCCAGACCACTGGAAGACGCTCCACTGGTGCAGATGTTTTGCAGTCTGACGAAGGCAGATCGGGGCACGTAGTCGTCATTAGCTACCGAGGTTGTCGGAATAAGAGCGAAAACAGACCCGCTCTCGTCAGAAGTGTTCATTACTGGCACTAGATGATGCACGGGCTAAAACATCAAAAAAGTTGAGACGTTACAATAGGTGGTAATTTTGAGCAAAGTGCATGTATAAATTTCAGATCTATTATGCATAACATAGTCATCTCATTTTCAATCAATTGTTCTACTACTATGATAGTTTTTGTAAACACATTACTCTGCCAAATGAATTGCTATTCAAAAACTCAAATTTTACACTTCTTTTGCCAAAAAATTTGGCTTTTGAAAAAAAATTATAAATATGTGCGAAGTATAACAAAAAATTGAACCTACCACCTATGCGAAGTATAATTGAAATTGAACCTACCACCTATTGTAATATATCGCCCAAAAAATATACGAAGGGTAGAATTTAACTTCACTGTACAACTTCAATTTAAGGTTCCGATCTTCCATTGCATCAGCAATAGCGTAGTAATTCTATTTACTGATGGGTAGATCGACAATTAAGTTCACATACGCTACATCAATATAACTATCTGATTTCTAAGAAACCAATTGTAAAGGTTAATGGTGGCGACAGAGCAAACCTCGTTGTTCATTCGCAACTTCTCCCTGTTGACATCTGGTCTGGTGTCCAAGTCCAGCTCAGCTGCTAGGTACAATCCAGTGGCAAGATGTTTGAACCTGAACATCGAATTCCATTTTCCTGCTCCACCTCTGAGAGGCGATGAATTAACCAGTTCGACTTCCCACAGCGCCTTGCTGCTAGTCGCAGACGTAGCGGCTGCACGCGCCGTTGTTCGGAGAAAAACATAGTTTCGATTACTATGATCATCCAGTGTTAAAAACTTCTCTTGTTCCGTGTGGAATAATCTGATTACGTCTCCCTGAAATGAAAAGTATGCTTGAAACATGTCATTGACATACCATGCTGTCAAAACTGTATGCTTCTAGATCTGTGAAAAGACTACATTTTTACTGTTCCGAGAGATGAGTTTGGTAAACTTTGGATTCGTGCAAAAAAACATACGCTTCAGAAAATATCAAAAGACGGAGACGCTTTAGAGCTAAAATTAAGAAATTCAAAAATTATTGCAGTGTTGAGAGGAATAGTTTGAAAATCTCACTTCTTGGAATATTTAAGTGCAAAGAAGGGATGTATTCCGTTTTTGCTGAATAACAATGGTTTTACTTTATCTCTGCTTCTAACATTACTTCGAAAGCCGACAAAAACCCTATCTCACGGAAGCTGACAAAACGTTTCGATAGTTTTTTTTTGTATAAATGACTGTGTAAGAAATACTCGGTGCTACTTCCACAGCAACTGACTATTTTTTTATTATTATTAAATAGTAAAATACAGCTCACCGATTTAAGGACTTCCTCTAGGTTCTCTTTGGCTTCCATGAAGAGATTAATTTGCCATGGAGTTAGTTCGTTCGTGCAGTTGACCTAAAAAAAACATTTGATAAGATATATCAATTAAATTCAGATTTAACACCAGATATATTTCTAAATCACCTCGACGCAGTCTTTGTTATCGTGCAGAGGAACGTCGCCAATATGCAAGTAGTTGTTAGAAGACACACTTGCCGACTGCAGTATGATTTTGTCCCCGACAATTACGGGGTCCCCGATACATCTTAGCTTGTAGAATGGCTGTACATAAAACCAAGATCCCTCAGATCCTGCGATGTCTAGTGTAACACGAATAGAATTTTTGTCGGTGTTTCCTGTTTGCCTGCTTACAACTGTTAGGAACTTGTTGCTCTTAACGTGTTGCAGCTGAATTATTCCACCGTAGCATACAGTGGTGCCCATCAACTTTTTGCCCTCTGCTTCATTTTGCTTACGCTCAAGCTCTGCTGATTGCTGAAAAATACCCGAAGTATTTACATGGTTTTTAACAACTATAACTTCCAAAACATAAGATTTTTTTTAATAGGCTATTATAATCAGTCACAGCTTTTGGAAGAAAACGATTTCGAACCGAGAAGAGTCAAGTTTGAAGAAATTATTTACCCTTAGTTTGTCAATCAAGGACTTCTGCTGAGATGTTATCGACGTGGCAAAAGGCTTGGCAGCTCTCCAATATTGTTTGTGCGCGGAATAGCGATTCATTGGGCAGATTTTGAACAAACAGTCTAAACAGAATAAGGAAAGAAGAATATTATTCAAGCTTTTGTTCACCAAAAAATAAAACCAACAACGGAGGACTCACCTCTGAACTTTTTGGGTGGCTGCCTGATACTCCCAGCATCCAGTGGGACCACACATCTGTCATCTACTAGCCCCAGTGTGCTAATAAAACCACAGTATCGACCTGTCTCACCATGATACAGAGAAACCAGATCTCCCACGTGTAGATTGGTAAAATTTGTTCCAATGCCACTAGGGGCACCACCTGAGTCACTATTCATTGATCTTGGGTCACATTGATCTAAAAACTGAAATACATCGAAATGAAACAATAGCTTTACATCACCAGTTGTTGCGGTAAAGATCCTCAAAAAAGCCGGTTGATGTGCAAGAAGTAGCCCAAAAAGTTCAAATCAAAATTTACTTTACAAACAAAATATCACAATAGCTTTAATTGGCTAATGATATCTTCGTAAAATGACCGGTTGAGACCGCAGGCGCTAATCGCTTTAGCGACCGTAGGCGCTAATTAGTGAACGCAGGCGCTAATAGCTTTAGTTGCTCTAAATGCCAAAAAAATTGAAACTGATTCCATTCGATACTGACAAAAACAAAGTGCCGCTGGTTGAGCAATTAGCAAAATAATTTCCGACCACAACAGAAAATTGCTGACAAAAAATGTACTGGAAAAAAGTAACAACTAGTTACACTAGTGGACAAAATTAGGCGCAAATTCAAGATTTTACTCTAAAAAAATCTGCTTCTTATTTCCATCTTGGACATTATTACTTTCGAAACTTAAATGAAAACTGAATTCCAAAGGGGCCCTTTCATTTAGTTACTGTAACATTCGCCCGGAAGTACATATCGACGGAAAATAAAGCTAGGTTCTAAAACGACTGGCTAGCGTCTAAACACAGCTCTACATGCTTTTCACCGTCTCTGCCAAAGCCAGTTCTTTTTGGTGGTCTTTCTAACATCGGTTCGACAAAAACGCTTTTGTTTCCGGCTTCGGTCAAAACACTAAAAATAACTATATTATATGCTAGAACAGTGAGCTCATGGCTGGGTCTCAGTATCCCCAGACCACGAGGTCACTCCTAAAAACAGGGCTACTACTATTTATTATATTACTATTGTTTTTGTTCAGTAGATAAAAATCACCATCTCCATCGAAGATGGATCAACCCTTTCCCTCACTCCTAGCTTCTCACTCTCTGAAAATGAATCTGGATGTTAATTAAATTCAATTCAGGACATGACCAGGAAGCTAAAAGTTTATATAAAACAGTTTGAATCTTGGGCCCGTAACCCCTCCCGATTCTGGAATCCGGGGAAATAGCACTCATATTTCTTTCCGGAAGGCTGGACACGTCGTCCCAAAACCCTTCCTCGTTTGTGTGAATTGCTCGGTAACGATTGTAGCGGCACAATCGTTACAACTCGGAGCGGTTTCAGACAGTTTCCAGTTCTATCTGTTGTTGTTTTCTCGTAGTTGTTTTAACTGCAACTATTGCTGTTCCTTTTTTCTTCCGTTTTCTGTCGCAAAATGGCCTTTTTAACATTTCTCAGAAATGTGACGTCACAATTCGAAATTAACATGTCAGTCAACACCAACCCTTCCCGATTTGTCTAATCGTTCAAATAACGTCACTAATCTGTAAAAACCATCAATCTTCCAGGCTAGCTGCTCTTTTTCTGTTCCAAAAAAAATTCAAATCCAAAACTGCATTTTCGTACAGTCTGGTCGAAGGTCACATACTCCCCGGACAGCCCGGTCAATGTCCTCATTGAGTCTTGTAGTCTTCATCGAACTGGTAGAGTGTCAATGAACAGAATTTACAAAATGCATAAAGTCACTTTTATCCACGTCATATCGACTCACTGCAGAATATAAATGGCATCATACTACACTATTTTAGCATTCCAAATTTTTTCACCAATCTGCACTTTCGAGGATATACTTAACGTAAAACAACTTTTAAGACTTCCAACGTCTATGTCCCGATTTAAAACTTTCTCTAGGTTTAAAAGTGAAGGAACGCAGGACAGTCCTGCCAACCCACAAACTAAAAGTATCCTTCTATGCTTCTTCCTCTCGGAAATCTAGTTGTTACTGGTCCTGAAAACTAAGGAACTCGGTGGTTAGAAGGAACAATGAAATAATCTCCTTCTTCAAGAGATTACCCAAGCCTTTCATGTCACCACAAAGTGATCAATTGTCCTAGTTGATTAAAAACAATTATGCAGGCTGGAATATTCTAAAATACTCTCCACTCAAGCCTTTCTAAGTAATTAGGAAGTGTCTCTAAAGCCACCAACTAAAATCAAAATGCAAATTTATAAATGTTGCAATTGTTCTTTCGTAGGCGCCTCCTGTCTATTGTTCTCCTTCACATGAGCTTCCAGCCATCGTATCGCCAACATAACTCCCACTATCACTATCGTTATGGGCTGTGATGAGTCTGGTAATTCCATCGAGAGCAGCTCTCCACAGTCCCAGATCAACACCAGATTACTACGCCCGGGGTACCACCATGTTTGTAGTAAGCAATGGCAGGGGAACTCGTCATGTGTTGACATGATGCTCCTCCAAATACGTTTCCCCGAAGCTTCCACTAGTAGTTCCACTACCATCGTCACTCGCCGGACTTCATCATTCTCATCTACTGCATTGTAATCCGTGACTGTTGATCCTTTCTGCTTTTGTACTTCAAAGTCACTGAAGTTCCCACTGGCGTATCCAATGAACTTCTTTCCCAGTATCGATTCTAATTCCTCTTTGGTTCTCTATGGAACTGCTGAGAACATTTTGCACAGTAACTCGTAAGATTTTTCTGATATTCTTGCTGGTCTTACTCATTTCGGCACTGAGAAGGCTTGATCCACGATCGTTCTAGTACTTTTCATATCCACTGCTACGAAATGCACTGTGTATCTGCTCTTGCACATTGGAGCTAGAGTTGATCCCACCAAATATCTCGTTCCCGTCGGTCTTTGATAAGTTTCCTTCTGCCGGATGTTCATTTCCGCCTCGATCGCTTCTCTCCATTTTCCAATATACTTCTGCTCACTTTGCAACACTCCTGGAAACACTTCTACACTGATGGTAGTGACCATCTCATTTTTTGTTCTAGATTCCATAGTGATTCTAGAGAACCAAACATGCTGTAGAACCCTGGTGCAACCACTAGATTCACCACGGTTCCTTCATGGCAGTCTGCAATCAGTTCCGTTTCTGTTTTCGCCTTCATCACAATATTCCCAAACAATATCGTCAATTGCTTGTGTTGTTTCTCCAGGGTCTTTACGCAATCCAGACTTCCACAGATGTGACCTTCCAGTCCACCGACATCTGCCAGACAACTACCAGGTTTGACCCAGTCCTCTGGTCCCCAGCCAGGAAATTCTACCTTGTCCTCTCCGTTGCTCTTAGAGGCCGTTGTCATGAAACTATAGATGACGTTCAGGTCACGCAAGTTACAGTCTCAGTTCAATTCCCTCTGCACATCGTGTGTCGCCCGTAATATTGAATCGGCGTTGGGACTCGGACACCATGATGGTTTCATCAGCAATTCGTCCGAGAATCCCAATCCAAACTCCACTCGGTGGTCAGATTTTGGTACTGAAGTTGCAGTCACCTTTTCTTCCAAGACTAGTCACAGCTTGGTCTGCTGATTAGTAGCGCTTCTTATCGTGACGATTTTTGACGTCCAGAATCTTAGCAACACTGCTTGCTCGTAATCAAAGAAGCAATCGCGTATGTCTTCATTTATGAAGGGATTGTACGCCATCCCTGTGATTCCGGATACGTAATTGTATGACTTCTTCCTGATCAGTCCACAATATTCACTGGATCTCGGCAGTGCTCCCATAGATTCTTTTGAGAGCATCAGCTCCTTGTTTGAGAACCTCCTTATTTTGTCTATTTTCTTCGGTTCTAGTTCCACGGGTTCTTTCATGTTTACTCGCATTGCTTTGCTCTGATATATGTCCAAAAGTGCAAGCAAGAGCAAGGCTTTCGCTCGTTCATCGCCTTCATTTAGCATCTTGACACAAGTGCTCAGTGCTGGCACTGAAATCTGCTCTATCATAAATCGAACGAAACAGAGAGCGTCTCTCCGCTTCGCGCACGATACTGCTACTCCTTCTTGGGTCATCAGATCTCTCACACTCGTCATTAAGATCACCTTTTCCTCTTTCGATCTTTTCCTTTCTTCCGAATCATACTCCCCGCGAGTCAGTCCAATCATGCACCAAGCGAACCTTAGTTTTAACTCTGTTCTCACATAGGGTATTGCCATCAGTGCATGTGTCTTTGGTTCTCATCTCTTCTTCGAAGTATCGCAACACTACCGCTTTCCATGGAAGGCTCACCAACTGCTCCATCGTTTCCACGTGCATTTCAGACCATACCAGAGTCCCGTATGCCTTCTGCTTCAGGGTGGTGCCTTGCATCATTGTCTCCCAATAACCTTCCATGGCACTTTTGTCTTCAAGAGCCATTAAGTGTCCTCTGGCCGAATTTCTGTACTCTAACATCTCCATGTATCCACCGGCGGGTTCATCAAACGATGCAGTTTCCGACACTGTCAGTCGGTTATATTCGACTGGGACCAGCTGTCCTACGACGCTTCCCTTTCCGTGATTCATGGGAGACGGTTTGAAGTCTTTAAGAGTACTCTCTCAACATTGGCTGAGTATCTCCAATTCTAACGTCGCTCCAGTCAGAGTGCGGTCACTCTTCTTAGTTTTGTAACTGGCTGATTTTATTCCTGCCATGAGAATGGGTGGCACCATCGCTACTTCAGTCAACATCCTGTCTGTGCCAGGCAATCGATCATCACCCTGTCCCAAGTCCATAGCTTCTTCGACGCATTTTCTCTTAGCTGAGTTGCCGGCTTTCATCGAGATTTCGGAATCCACCTTTGTCTTCCCCGTTTTCCTCAATGTCACCTTGCTACCCAGTTTCATTTTCATTTCATTAATTCTGTCAATCACCATTTTCGATCGCATCGTTCCCTTCCGGGTCCTTGACAGATATACTACTTCTTCCTTGTCTTCTTGCAGCGTCATCTTTAAAGGAGAATTTGCCTCACTTTCGTCAGTGGCTGAGTCAATCACTAACTCGCTCAATCTCCCTTCACACTCGTCAGGTTTATCAAGGACCACCCGCATTAGTGGTCGGTTGAGACCTAGTTTCAAAATAGATTGGGTTCCGTAGCTCTGAACTACTGCCCAGACCTCTTCCATGAAGGCCACTCCGTCCATTCTGCATCCTGTCCTATTTTCATGGTCTCTATGA